TACTTCTCTTTGACCATGTTTTTGATCATTGTTACCTTCTCAGGCCCTTCAGTTCCCACTCTAAACGCGGGTGCCCAGCCAGCCATGTTGAGCACTTTGAGAGTTCCTTCCAACATGAAAGGTGCAATGTAAATTGAATAAGATTGTTTCATGCTTATTCATTATTCTCAAACCATTTCTGCTCCAGTTACTCATCTTTGTCAGTCTAAACATGAAGCTTTTAGCTCAGAGCATATGAAAGCATGTTTGACTGTGGGCTGAATGAAGTCGTATGCGTGAGTGGCTGTGGTAATGGAAATGGTAGGGGCTGAGTAAATGAGGTCCTCTCACTCATGGCAAAGAGCCGTTCTGTCAGGTCTAGTTGGACTGCTACAAAATTTAGTTAAATAATTTTAAAATGTTTTTATTATATATTTAGAGTTGTCTCGTATCAGTATATATTTGGTATATTTCAGTAGAGACCCCAATATGTACACTAATTGAGATTGAATAATTGAAAACCGTGTCTGTGTGCCTGTTTATCTCTCTCTCTCTCTCTCTCTCTCTGCATTGGTAACTGTGCATCTGTCTCTTTTTCTCTCTCTCTCTCTAATCTTGTACTTACTTGGTTCATACTCTGTTCACTCCCACATCATTAAAACCACGTTCCATTAATCCTGACCCAAAACTCCGATGCTCACATACTCACCTGTATCAAACTCCATACCCCCCTATCACACCAGTTCTAGTCAGGCTGAACCGGCTCCCTATCAAGTTCCTCACACTCGTTTTCAAATCCCTTCTTGCCCTGACACCTCCCTATATCGCCAACCTGCTTACTCCCCAACCCACAGCCCCCTGCTTCCGCTCGACTGGCTCCAGCCTCCTGCTTGTCCTTCATGACCTCCATTCACCCATCAGTGGTCGCGCTTTCAGCTACTATGCCTTGAAACTCTGGAATGCTCTTTCTCTATCCCTCCACCTTGCCTATTCCTTCCCCACCTTCAGGTTGCGCCTGAAGACCTTCGTCTTCGATTATACCTATAGTCACATTCCCCCCCAGCTCGGGTCATGCTCCACCACTGTCAAGCTCTCTGGGAAGCTACCCTGTATAAGGGGTGCTATACAAATGCAAGTTGTTGTTCCCATTCACAACACACATGAAGCAGTTTAACCAAACACATAGTGTCATGTTTCCTCTAGACAAATTAATCACTGGATACAGATAGCCGGTTGTTGGTGGATTGGTGGATCGCTTTCCTGGGGTAAAAATCCCTACCAAAATTTATGACTTTTGGTTGCTTGGTCCTTGACTGTTTATGGGGCGCTGCTGTGCACAATTGGTTGCCGCGTTTCACCCACAAGATGCACAGTCGCTTCCCTTTGCATTGTATTCTGTGAAGCGTTTTGAGACGTATCGATGATGTCACGGAGCGCTATATCAAATGCAAGGATTATTATTATTATTTATTATTATACACTGACATGTACACAAGTCCATATCTTCCAGTGTGCGGTTATGTGGCATTTTTACAGTATTCTCTGGGGGATGTAGAGAAGTGCACTGGGGAGGAAAATGTCTGAATTTAGAAAGCTGACGTCAAAGTTCATGCTGATTCTTGAAGCCCATGATTTTCAAGAGTTAAAGAAAATGTGCAGTTCCGTTACGACTTAGTTAGCAAAGGCACGGCCCACCTGATGAGTACCGGGTCAGTCAGATAGAAAGGTTATAAGATCGAATCCCAGTCAATGCCGAAAAGCTGACCTCAGCAATCGTGGCTATAATTGGCATCTTGGGTTTAAATAATGGAAATTCTCGTTCCCTGCTAGATAGTGAGCAGGACAGGGTGAGGATAGGATCGGTGTTGGTTGTGGATTTTTTTCGTTTAAATTTTCTCCCCACACCCCCACTTTACCCACCATGACCGATCAGCCTGGAAAGTCACAACTGAGTAATGGCCACTGGGTGGGTGGAGGGTGAGTGGTAGCCGGAATTTGTGGAGCTGCCCTCCACTAGATAAAAAAGGAATGCGGCTTCTTCGGGAGATTGATGGTTAAACGGATTCAGAATTCCGCCTCCTGTATCCTCACCCGTACCAAACTCCACACCCGGGCATTACGCCAGTCCTTACCAGGCTCCATTGGCTTCCTGTCATAGAACGAGGAGATTTCAAGATCCTCACACATCTATAAAGCACTCCATACCCTAGCACCTCTCTAACCTGCTAACACCACACTCCTCTATCCAAATCCTTCGCTCTGGCTAGCTCGGGCCTTCTGCACATCCATCGATTACTCCGCTCCATTGTCAGGAGCCATGCTTTCAGCCATCACTCCCTGCATCTCTGTCTCTGCCTCCATCTTACCTGCGTTCAAATACACTGAAGATTTTTCTCTTGGACGCTGCCTATAGTCACCTCCCATAACCAAAGAAATTTACAACACAGGAGACGACTGCTTTATAAATGAGAATTGTTGCCGTTAAAATGAGAAGGGAAGGGGAAAAAATAGAATAAAACTGACAAAATAAAACCAGAAAAGGAGCCCTGAATATTTATATAAACAGGTCATCACATGCAATGCAGATTGGGTGAGTCAGATTTGAAGTGTATAGGAAGGAGGTCATTTCTTAAAAGAAGCTGTCACATGAGCTTTTTATAACATATATTTAAACTTGTTACATGGACTGATGTGTTTTTTTTAAATGTTAGTGTAGTTTGATTCTGCAGTACCAATATGTGCACATATCCATCCCATGAGAATACTCTTTTATATACACAATGACTTTGTGGCAGTTCAAATATTTCCAGTAATTGTCCAGATGAGAAAGTAAAGTTTCCTGAATAAGTAATCTTGTCAAGTTCAGGGGTTTGAAATAATAATAATCCTTGCATTTCATATAGTTCCTTATCACATCTTCGAGATGTCTCAAAGCACTTCACAGAATATACTGTAAAGTGAATTGACTGCATATTTTGTGCGCGAAGCTTCATCTGGCAAGGGGAAAAACTTGCTGGACAGCAATATCAATGGCAGGCTATGCGGTTTTAGCTAGTTACACAACAGCAGTACCCAATGCACACTCTGGACTCCCCAGGCCTTGGCTGTTGACAACCTGAGGCTAATACCTTCTGGAATTCGGTGAGCAGGATGTGTCCTTCCAGGGAGAGAGTGCGCATTCCATTCCAACAATCTGTCTCTGGGATTTCCATGTGTAGGTGGGATGCATGGAAATCTCAGCTTGGGTTGGATACTCTTTAAGCATGGTGATGAGTTTCCATGTATGTCAGACACCCGTTTGAACAAAAAAAATTACACACAAAGTTCAAAACTACAGACAAATCAAATATTTGACTTGTTTTATTCGAATGTTGTAATGTTTTGTCTAATACTTTCTTCCCGATTAATAACAGGAAATGAAACTCTTTGATGAGGGTGAAGGAAATTTGCTCAGTAATTGTCAAAGAAAGGTGCTCACCTTTTCTTAGCTGGGGGGGGGGGGGGGGGGGAGAGAGGAGACCACAAACCCTTTCTGGATGGTTCATTAAACCTCTTGTCATGTGTAAACACACTGAAACTGTGTTGAAAAGCATTACATAGCCATATCTGAAGGCTTCGTGCATATTTTGGTCACAGCCCATTCATTAGCTCTTCATTACTAAGGTATGTGTCTGATGCAAGAGTTAAAACTGAACACTGTGGTAGGGGTGATGGTGATGCATTTTGCATGCTTCACAGAGAGGACTTGAAATTCATGGCCTTGTGCTTCTCCTAGCAAAGATGTAAATATATGCAGTGTACTCACTCTGCTTCTGTATTGGGTGTTGAATACTAAAATAAATCCCCACTTTAATAGAACTGCAGCACATAATATAGTAGTGGAATGTGAATGTGGAATGACTCCCTGATCTCCACTGAGCTAACAGTGGGACATGTTAAATGGAGATTTTGCCTTCTTTTCTACGGTGCACCTCCTAGTGGATGGCTCGAGCAGTATTGCCCATAAGTTGCCTGTCACTTTCTTGTTTTGGGAAAGCTACAAAGGTTTAATTGACGATTGGGACACATGCGTACTGTAGTCCTGTTCCAGATGTACTTTTAACCTAATTTTGTGTCTCTGATGGTTGGAATTTCCGAGCTGCTGCTGCTGTAGTTGGTGAACAAATGCTTTCATGTTTTATTTCTGCTTGTACAATCTGCATCACTAAGCTTGTTTTTCATTTGCATTTCTGAGCTGTAATGAAGCATCCCTTACCATTGCATTGGAGTCTTCCACAAAGTCTGAGAGTCTTGTTCACGCATTGAGATGCAGTGATTCTTCTTGTTAGGCCATTAGCTTTCTCCATGACCGAAATGTGCAAGATGAGCAAGCTGTAATGGAGTCAGAACAAGCATGCTGCTCCGATTATCACTAGTGTTTCATTATCCATTCTTAGCTTTATAAATATGTGGCTACACTTGTTGCGCATTTGCCTACAAAATACAGTCACTACATCTTACAGTAAATACTGTGAAGCTATTATTATTATAGTCATGCGATCAATATAATGAAGATAGCCTAGGGATGCATTTAATATTTATCACACTGAATGCTTTCCAGTATATAAGTCTGCAAACCCCCGCACCCCTGTCCCCCCCCACCACTCCATCCTCCCAACTTCCTGTGCCCACCACACATGCGCATACACATCAATCTCTGTTCTTAGTTGAGCTGTCGAAGAAGTATTGGATTTCTGAATGGTGCTGTTGACTGCAGGTTAATGGGATACCGACTATGCTTGGGTTTTGGTCTTAGTAAAAAGCCGGTGAGAATGTGGTCTGGAGATCCACCTCCAGCATACTTGGGTACATTCAATGTGATCGATATTGAATGCATCTTTAAATTGACCCCATTGTGTGGTCTGTTCTTAATTCAGGTAATTTTGGAATCTCGAACATATGCTGTCTCAGTACACACACAGTGAGCATTTAGCCATTGCATAGTAATCTCACCTTTGGATTTTTTTTCTCTTCTCATATAGCTGGAACTCACTTTCAACTATCTGGAGATTCAAGGAGTAAGCTGTTGCAAGCCTGGGCAGGTCAGTTCTCAATTTGCGAAAAGAGATCAGTCTGAAATGGAATCATTAGAAATTAGTCTGGTATATGTAATGACTAAGTTTGTTGATCAGCAAAATTTCTATGTAAATCATACTTCTGCGTGGGGGGAGAGACGGACGATATTTTCACTGTTGAAATGTCTCAGAGATGCAACGGTTTGATCAGGAGAATGTAAAGTGGAAGTCTGTAGCTTTGTGATTTTAAAAAAAAATGCCTATTCAAAATCTCTGCGCAAAAGTTTTTTTCTTTGCTGTTGAAAAATGCAAACGTTTTGATTATGTTGGACTTAATTTTACGGAATTGTCTGTCTCTTAACTGGATTGAAGGTCAAATTTTTTTGAACAAAATTACGGCTCAATTTTCGTGTGGTTCTTTCTGTCTCTTTTCTCCACCAAGTGAAAAACCTGGGTTTGATTCCCGGCAGGGCGAAATGTTGGGCATGTTTCCTTACTCCACATGCCTCTGGTTACCTAGCAGTAAGTAGGAACTTGGTTGTTAGTTGATTGGCAAATCGCTTTTCCGTGGGTGATAATTCCTTTATAAAAAAAATGATCACTTCAATCCTCGACTCTTTGTGGAACACTGCTGCGTGCAATTGGCTGCTGTGTTTCACCTACAAAATATACAGTCATCCACTTTACAGTATATTCTGTGAAGCACTTTGAGACGTCTCGAAGACGTGATAAGGAACTATATCAGATGCAAGGATTATTATTATGAAACATTTGCTGGCATTGAAATAGCAATCTGCTCCTAGTTTTAGTCAGTGCTTCTTTTAGCTACCTGCTGCAACGAGCATGAGGGTAAGTTGATGTGACTTGCGCTGTGGATGTGCAAGTCTCTTTATTTCCAAATCTATTCTCAAGTGAGGATAGATGGTGAAGACTGACTTACCTTACCCCTTGTATGACTTTCACTGAGACCTGGACCAAGACTGGAAACTTGCCATGTGAAGAAACTAGTTGCTGATAATCCACATTCTTACATTTTAGATTTATTGTGTAGATTTATTGTCGTGAACTCTAACATGCAATGTAACATCACCAGACCTCCGGACAGCCACATAACAACAATAAAAATAAATAAACATTTGCCTACTCTCTCCTTGTGGATCAAATTCATTTTCTGTGGAGGACTGTGGAGTCCTGTAGCTCAGTGGTTAGAGCACTCGCCTCACAGGCGAGAGACCTGGGTTTGATTCCCGACAGGGTGAAACGTTGGGTAAGTTTCCTTTCTCTATACGCCTCGGTTTACCCAGCAGTAAGTAGGAACCTGGTTGTTATTCGATTGTCAGATCGATATTCCGGGGGTAATAACTCCTTTTAAAAAAATTGGTCACTCAGTTTGTGGGACACAAACAGTCAATTCAATTTACAGTATATTCTGTGAAGCGCTTTGAGACATCTTGAAGATGTGATAAGGCGCTATATCAAATGCAATGAATATTATTATTGTGGTCAAGTCTTTCCTGCGTAAAGTAAATGAAATCATTGCAGCAGAGGAATTAGTTGCAAAAGACTTTTTTCTGTAATAGTGTATAAGTAACATATCCCATCAGGATCATATACATGAAGAATGCTCACAATATCATTTGGATCTTATATCTTTTTACAATGAGCTCATTTCCTTTTTCAATGGCGATTGCCAAGTTGTAACTCCAGTACATGTCTCACAAATTCATTACAAGTGACAGATCAATAAAAAGGATCCTCAGTGCTGTAGGAGGAGGTAGATGGAAGCCATAAATAACACAAAGTAATTGATGGCAATAGCCTGTTTCCTCTGGGTTGAGGAGTCTGTACATTCTTTGTAAAAAAAATTTAACTTGATGCAAAAGATTTGGTTTGAAATATTAACAAAACGGCAGCAGACTGAAAATGAATCCTGTGAGAAGTTAATGTCTTCTGTTTCACAACTGTAGACTTCAGTTTATATACCAGGATGTTTTTGGCAATTGAGGTAACTTGCACATCTACAGTGAAAATTGTGATAATTTGGTCACTCAATCCATGACTGTTTGTCGGACACTGCTGTGTGCAATTGGCAGTCGCGTTTCGCCCACAAAGTAAATAGTCAATTCACTTTACTGTATATTCTGTGAAGCACCTTGAGATGTTAAAACAATATGGGAAGGTGGACGGAGGAGACGGTTAGTGGTGAAAAGAGAAGCCTGGGGTTGTCCTTTGCCACCAAGATAACCTTGGAGTAGAAGGAGGATTTGGCGGAGGCAAGAGATCAGCGGTAGGTCTTGGTATGGTGAAGCTAGATCTGCCGATGGATCGTTAGTTTGGATTTGGTCCAGGCGCGTTCGGCAGCTCGCACTTGTGCCTTGAGGGAAAGAGATGGCTGGTGTATCAAGGGAATTTAAGGGAGTATGAGGCAATTCGGGAGGTGAAGGGGGCAAGGGAGTCCAGAATGGAGGAGAGGGAGTTGTGGAGAAAGGAGAGTGAGGAGGGGAGATCAGTCAGTGAGAGCCAGAGGTGTAGGAGTTCAAATGACTCCGGGGCAAGGGAGAGGGAGGACATTTTTTTCCATGGACGGTATGTAATGGTGGAGGGTTGGGAAAGGGAAAGGGGTATTGAGGTGTTAAGGGAGATGAAGTGGTGGTCTGAGATGGCTTTATCGACGATGGTGAGGCCCCAGGTGATCACCAGATCAAGGGGGTGGCCATGGTCGTGGGTGGGGGAGTGGATGAGGAGGGAGAGGTTGAGGGAAGAGAGGAGGGAGGAGAAGTCGGCAGAGGTAGAGCAGGAGGGGGTGAAGTGGAGGTTGAAGTCGCCTAAGGTAAGGAGGCGTTCAGAGCAGAGGGAGAGAGAAGATAAGAGGGTGGAGATGTCCGAGAGGAAGGTGGGGGAAGGGTTGGGGGGATGGTAAACCAGGAGGATTTTGAAGGAAAGCCTGGAGGGTGGTAGAGGGTAAGGTGTGCAAAGGAGGGGAAGGTTCCGGAGGAGTAAGGGGAAAGGCCGAGGGGGGACCGGGAGAAGAGAGCCACACCACTGCCACGGTGATTAGGCCATGGGGCTTGGTGAAAGGTGTAACCTGGAGATGTGGCCTCAACTAGTGGGAAGGTGTTGCCTGGGGTGACCCAGGTTTCGGTGAGGGCAAGGATGTTGATGTTTTCCTCGACGGTGAGGTGATGGATTGTGAAGGACTTGTTATAACCATTATAGTTGCTATTTTTAGCACTTACAAAGATGTACAATCGTCTTGATTGAGAAGTGTATTAAAATGCTGTGCATTTGCATCACAGATTGTATTAGATCAGCGACTGAGGCATAGTGTTCCTGTTTCCTTGCTTTCCTGTTCCTCCCCATGTGCTCTGGTACCTAATGTAAAGAAAGCATCATAAGATCTGTCAGATTTTTGGAGTATTGGTTTCCGCACAACTTCAAAAAGGGTATTTCCTTCACTCTTCTAAATGAAATACCTTACCTACCTTCGTACCTAAAGAACACTCAAATGGAAGTGCCTGGGTTTATTTATGCAGAATAATAGCTTCAGAGAATGTTCTTTGCTTCCTGTGGAGAGGAAAGCAACTGCTGAAATTGCATCAGCTTCAGTTTATTTTATCAAAAGAAAATTTATTGTATTGTGCATTTGTAGTCTTGGCATCCATTCTAAAAGATGTTGCCAGACTATGCAACCAGAGCTGACAGTTGGGAGAAATGATTTTCATGTGATAATGCAATGTACAGGTTTAGCAATGTTTTCATCATTACATTGCCAGTAGGGATTGTATGAGTAACCCAGCACTAGATCCCAGTAAGACCTGCAGGAGACTGCTTCTTATGTAGGCAGAGATGCAACTTTGATCATTCACGGTTTTCTGTGTGTATAAAGGAGCTGCTCTGTTAATGTAGTGATTCTGCTGCCAAAACATAGGGAGGTCACTCAGGTAACAGGGGTAATGCAGAGGAGAACAATGAGGCTAATACCCAGTGTTAGAGGAATGAGCTGTGAGGAAATTTTGTATTTTGCATTTTGTATAGCACCTTATCACGTTGGAAGGACGCTTCAAAAACGCTTCACAGGAATTACTGTGAAATGGAGTGACTCTGTATTTGTAGGCAAATGCAGCAGCACAATTGCACGCAGCAATGTCCCACAAACAGCCATGAAACGAATGACCAATTTTATTTGAAGGATTGTTGCCAGGACACCAGAAGAAGCTCCCTTTTGTTGAATAGTGCCGTGGGATCTTTAACTTCCATCCGAACAGGCTGACGGGACCTTGGTTTAATCTCCCTCATCCAAAGGATGGCACCTTTGATAATGCCACACCCCACCCACCCCCAGCACTGCATTAGAGGGTCAGCTTAGACTATGTGAGTTCAAGTCCCAACGTGGAGCTTGAACCCACAACTTTCTGACTCAGGTGAGAGTGCTTCTACTGAGCCAAGCTGAGTCAACGCCGTATTGAACAGTATTAGACCTTGATTCATCCAATTATAAATAAATTGGAGAAATACTAGTATAGTAGAAACCCAGACTGCGGTCAGCTTGGTAATCCAGCCACTTTACAAATGCAGGCACATTTTCCCAGACTCTTTTATTGTCAATGTTAAAAGATAAGCTGTCTGCCTCAGTAAACCGGGCACCTCACTATTCAGGACAACGGTCATTGATTGCGACCACTACAGCGCCCTTGTCCACTTCAACCTCAGTACAAACACCCCCCTCCGCTATTAACCTGTACACAGTGCGCTAGGCCTGTTTCAATAATCAGTTCAGTTCACTAAGTGGGTCACCTTTGGCCAGTCACTACAGTGACCGGATTAGTGAGGTTCTATTGTATTTATATAATAATAAACCTTATATTTGACATAGCACTTATCAAATTGAAACGTCTCAAAGCGCCTCACATAACATACTGTAAAGTGAATTGATTGTATATTTTGTAGGCTGTATATTTTGGAGCCCTTCTGCCTCACCCCTTCCTGTAGCTCATCACAAATTGTCTTGAATGCATACAAGTTATTTTTTGTAGTGACTATTACTTAGGCAAAGCCTAATGTATGCCTGCATTCTACCATATGCACAGAACCAAAGAACCACAGATAAAGAACCTTCAGCATTAATCTTGTTTCGGTGAGTTTGGATGAATGTGTGTATTTGTTGGGTTGTTGATGAGAACTTCTTCCTCTTCAAAATAGTTAAATGGGATTGTTAATATCCACTTGAACTGTCAGAACCTTAGTTTTATGTGTCATCTGAAGGAATGCAATGTTCCCTCAGTGCTGACTGGCATGTCAGCCTAGATTACGACCTTATGTCCAGGCATGGGATTTGAACCTACAACCTTCTGACCCAGAGCTGAGAGTGCTACCAACCGAGCCAAACTGAAGAAGAAAGGGGAAGGAAAAGCTCTCTTGTTTTGAGGTTGGAAGCAGAAGGCTTGTAGTTCTGAAGCATGGAAGGAGACATCTTTGAAACCTCACATTAAGCAAGAATTGTAATCTGCTGAGAATAAGGGGCAAAATTTAATTTACTAATGAAGCAACACCTTGTTCACAATTATCTTCTGTTCTGATTGATGAGGCATTGACTATAATAATTGCACCAGTTCTTCATTTAGTCTTGGATGTTTTATTATGATTGTCAAAATGACCCCAGGTTCAACTTTCAAGGATGATTATAATAATTAAAGGGTTAATGGACATAAACAAAAACGGATTGTTTTATTACGCCTTCATTACATCAGGCTTGATTATGCTAACTCCCTGCTCCCTGAACTGCAGCTTGTGTCCTCTCCCACATCCTCGCCCAGCTTCACTGGCTCCCCATTTCCCAGTGGATCGAGTTCCAGATCCTCATCCTCACCTTTAAAACTTATCCTCATGGGGGGAGGGGATACGTGGGGTCTCCTTGGAGCTGAACTGGCTCCAAGGTGACATGCCTGGCAATGGAATTTCGGAGTCGAGCCAACCCTCTGTGGCAGTCTTGGTAGTCTGGTTCCTGAGCCAGTTGGGTCCGCAGTATTCCAGGGCATTGCTGATGACAGCACAGCCAGTCTGGTTCATTAGCAAGTCCGGGAAGGGCAGACCAATCACTGGGGTCAGGGAGTCATTGCATTCAGCTTCTGTTAGCTCTACAAGCCAAAGCCCTAACGGGATGGGGTCCTAGCTGGAGAAATAGCGGGAAAGCAGTATCAATGGCAAGCTATGTGGTTTTAGCTGGTTAGATTCCAGCAGTACCCAACGTACACTCTGTGGTCCCCAAGCCTTGGCTCTTGCCAACCTGCGCCTAATCTTTCCAGAATTGGGTAAGCAGGATTAGGTAAATCCCTGCAGGAAGCGAGTGTGCATTCCATTCCAATAATCTATCCCTGATATTTGCATGTGTATGTGGGCTGCATGGAAATATCAGCTTGGGTTGGATACTCTTTTAAGTATGGTGATGGGTTTCCACATGTGTCAGATACTCGACTAACCATAATAAACGTTTAAATCCCTCCACGGTCTTGCTCCTCCCTACCTCTGCAACCTACTAAACCTTTACCAACCTGTCCTCTCCCTCCACTTGGCAAGCACTGGCCTCCTCCATGTCCCTGCTCTGCCCGTTACACATCGGAGGTTGGGCCTTCAGCCTTTCTGCCCTCACCCCACTGGAACTCCATCCCGAGACTCTCCACCTTCCTCACTACCTTGCCCCCTTCAAGGCCCGTCTCAAGACATTCTCTTCAATTGCACCTTCGCTCAACTTCCTACCTCCATCCCTCTTGACTCCGATTCCCAATTCAGGTGCAAACCCTTCACTGTCCTGTATCTTGGGATGTCCTCCCGATGTGAAAGTCTATATAAATGCAATTTGTTGTTGAAAGGGAACAACTTACCGTTTCTAGTTGGAAATGGTATGGGATGTTTAAAGCTTCTATACACACATGTTGTCAGTCAAGTAAAATCTGAAACTTTGTTTGGGTTAAATTTCTGGTAAGAAATTTAGACTGTACAAAAAAACAATGCTCCTGATTCATCACAAAATTTCTTTACATAATATGATGCTTCCATAATCTCTGACAGTTAGTTTATATTATGTCTTCCTACATATAGATGAGAAAAGTATGAAAATATATTTTTTTTAAAATGTACAGTAAAGAACTCTACATTTAATCTTATATTGGTCTGAAATGCTGTACTTTGTCCAGCATGGGACATCCTCCTGACATGAAAGGCGCTATACAAATGTAATCTTGTTGTTGTTGTAGATTGAATCTTGGTGCAGCATAACAGGTGCTTTCCTGCTGTTTTTCTTGTCTCGCAGTTTCCTTTTGTCTCCTTTGCTGAAGGCATTTAGCTCATTTCTTATTTTTTGGTACAATTTCTCTTCCCTCCTCTCTCCAAGCTAGTTTCTCACAATGTCACCTCAGTCAATGGCATCAGTTTCTCCAGATAACACTTAGCATATGCTTTGCAGAAAAATGATCCCTGAACTTTACATGGCTTTGTATTTGATCCAGAGAACTTTTCGTCACTTTGACAATCATTCATCATTTGTATACAACAACTTTATATAGCACCCTCCATGCCGGGCAGCGTCGCAGAGCGCGTAACAATAGCGGAGGCTGAGCCAGGGGGAGGAGAAGGTGACCGTAGGCATGGTTGAAGAGGAAGTCTTCAGGCACGACCTGAAGATGGGGAAGGAGGATTGAGGCAAAGGGATTGAGGGAGGGAGTACCAAAGTTTCAGGGCATAGTGGCTGAAGGCACAGCCGCCGATGGTGGAGTGGAGGATTCGGGGGACAAGGAGGAGGCCGGACCCAGTAGAGAAGAGGCAGCGGGTACTGCTGTGGAGAGAGAGGTTAGAGAGACAGGAGGTGCCAAGGAATGGGGGGATTTAAACACTGGAGTGAGGATTTTGAAGTCAATCCGCTCTGACAGGGAGCCAAGGACTGGAGTAATCGGGGTACAAAGTTTGGTGCGGGAGAGAATGCGGACGGCGGAGTTTTGAATGAGGTGAGTTTTGTGAATAGTGAGGAACGGGTTAGTGTAGTTCAGCCGAGAAGTGACAAAGGCTTGGACAAGGGTTTTGGCAGCTTTTGGGGTGAGGTATTGTCGGAGACAGGCAATGTGGCGGAGGTGGAAGAAAGCGGTGCTGGTCAGGGCCCAGATGTGGGGGAGCAAAGGATGTATGTCATCGTTTGCTCTTTATTCTTAGCACAGATTGCAATTCATGCTGAATAGTTGCTGTTTCAAAGTAGCTTCAGAATTGTGAGCTCATCTGCAGGAATGCTCCTGACCTCCAAATAAAGGATTTATTTTCTTTCTTCTTTGTGTCAGTTTGGTTGGCTTGGTGCCCTGCACCTCTGAGTCGAAATGGTCCCATTCTGAATTGCATGCAGCGACTCGAGCTATCAACGTGAGGAAGTGCTGCCCTTATTGGACATGTTGTGGTTCAGATGGAATGCTACGCCAAGCTCCTGCTGGGCTGCTTTGGACGATCACCTTTAGAGACTCTTACCTGGAATGCTGGAGCTCCATTCCATTGGCTCAGGAAGCATTGTGTTGGATATTCATTAAGACAATAATGACCAGTTGACTAGGACCAATGGAAGGGGATCAGGATGTAGAGAAGCAGACAGAACTGAGTTGGACTGTTTCATTTGTAATTTTTGGTTGCATTGTTTGATTTGTAACTTGTGAGCTGAAATAAAATAGTGTTCTGCACATTGTTTTTTGAGAACATAACACAATGTTCAACAGCAGGTGGTAGCCTGAGGTGCTGTTTTGAAGTAAAAGTATTGGACTCTCCTGAGGCCTGAAATTTTACCTGGACTTAACCTTTGACACCATGTTGTCTTTAAATTTTAAGATTATGCAGAACTGTGAAAAATTCTTAATTCAGTCTTAATTTGGAAGCTGTTTTGTTTTAAGAATTACAGAAACCGTGTTTCAAATTGAGACTGAATTTAAAAATGTTCTACAATTCCACGTGATCTTAAATCTTTAGACAAAATGGTCTTGCAAGATAAGAGTAGGTAGAATTTTGGGCTTCTGGTGTCTTGGATCCCTTGTCTAAATTAATGAAAGAAATACCAATTTGCTATCCATCACTGTTTGTGGGATATTGCGAGCACAGATTAGTTGCTGCATTTCTTATCAAGGTGACTGCTTTGTTTTCAGATGTTTGCATCCTGATCATGTGCTAAGTCCAATGCAAGAATTATTATGGTTTAATAAAAAGTAGAACATTTACTACATTTGTAATATTTGGAAAATCCGCCAATGTGATGGACTTTGCAATGTCATTTCTACCATGACTGACACTGGGTTACTTCCATAGGTCCCCTTATACTGCTTTGATGTAGTAATTTTTTTGGTCAGCCAGATGTCTCACCTATTCAGAAACTTATCAAACAAAGAAATAAAAACTACATTTATATAGCGCCTTTCACATCGGGAGGACCTCCCATGGTTACGAACTTCCAAACCAGAATGAACTCCACACATGTATGTGTGTTGATGTGGTAGATAAGAATAACTCTGCTCTTGGGAAGGTGAATGATGCAGATTTAGCCAGTGCAGAGACAATTGGCTGATACGAGTTGGAAGGATCTTGGCAGTGCTGGTGAAGTGCTAATTGGCAGAGGTGCTAACTTTCATTAAACTGAGGTTCTTTCTGCTCAGATTCCATGGTACTAATTGAAAAGAAAACTGACTTTAACCTGGTATCCTGGCCAATAATACATGGCTGTTTTCATGATATTGATGTTATTTGTGCAAATATTTGTGCCATTTTGCCTACAAATACACATAACAATTCACTGCGAAGCTCTATGTCAAATGAGAGGAATTTTATTGTAGCAATTTTGACAATTTAGCTGTTTGACGCCACTTTCGGGTTGAAGAACATTTTGAAATTATTTTATAAATGCAAGTTGAAAAATTGTGAATTTGTTTTGATGTTTTACAGTTAGTCATTGAAGCTGATCGATGCTGTTTATCCTTGAAGTTAACGTCTTCAGAAGAGGTGAATGAAGTGGTGGGACTTCTGGGATCTTGTCTCAAGAAGATGCTTCCTGGTCACTCTCCATTGTAGGTACTTCCATCAAGACCATGAGGTTGATGCCACTTTTCAGAAAAGCTATTATTGTTTTTCAATGGAAGGATGGATAATAACACCAGTTTATTTTTCTTATATATATATGTATATTTATATAATTCAGTGCTTTATTATTGCTGTATTTATTTTCTTTCTCATTCCTATTTCCATTTTAAATCAGATTCTGGTAACGCTCCTGCCATTATAATTGGATCATCATTTTCAGCTCTGGTGTGTGAAAATTTATAACAGAATTGCTTAATAAGGGTCTGAGAGGGAACCCTTTCTGGAAACTGGAAGTACTTCGCAACTTTTTGAGAGTTGATTGTGTCAGAGTCGAGTTCCTATGAGTCACTGCAGTATCCTTCTGGTTTCCTTATTTAGGAACCTCTCAATAAGTCACAATTAGAGCATTAAATCCAGTTTAGGATTATTGCTATTGCTTCTGAGTCCAAAAGTTTCGGGTTCAAGCTCCACGTAAGGACTTTGGACTTGTGTGCTGACATTCCAATGAAGTGCTGGAAGTGTGCTACATTGCCGAGGTCCTATCCAACAACAACAACAGCTTGCATTTATATAGCACCCTTCACATGGGGTAGCATCCCAGAGTGCTTTCCTTCAGTTGACGTCCTCCCTACCAACCTGCCCGCTCTCTCCATTCATCGGGCTCCGGCCTGCTCCATGTCTCCCGACCCACCCTACCATCGGTGGCCGGGCTTTCAGCTCTCTGCCCCCACACTCTGGAACTCCATCTCACGGTCCCTTTGCCTCACTTCCTCCCTTGCCTCCTTCAAGGCCGGTTTCAAGACCCTTCTTCGACCGTGCTTTTGGTCTCCCTCCCACCTCTCTGCCTTCCCTCACCCCTACACCACCCCTCCCCCATTTCGACTATTCAGCGCTTTGGGACGTCCTCCCGACATGAAAGGCGCTCTATAAATGTAATTTTGTTGTTGTTAAATTGAGGTCCGTCTGTCTGTGCAGGTGAGTGCAAAAGACTCCATGGCACTATTTGAAAAGAGAATCGAGTATCTCACGATATCCTGTCCAATAATTCCCCAGATTAAAAAAAAAACACTTAGAGCTGTTTTGATCTGTGGGATCTTGCTCAGTGCAAATTGATTGTTGAGTTCAGCTACGTATATAGCCTCCACACTTTACAGAAAAGCTCTGTGAATAACTTTGAGACATTTGGATGTTATACGGTTCTATAAAAAATACAAGGATTATTATTAAGTTGGATACTGATGTAATGTTCTTTAATGAACATTTCCTCTTTAGATCTCCAACACACTCTTCGTTAGGTAATTATGGTGGATCAGCATTTCACTAGGCTTCTGCCTTAATTAGCTGCCAGCAGGAACAATCATCCATGAATCATTTTACATTACTAGCTTGTTCTTACTCCCCAAGTATATAATTGATTCAGTGTCCCAAGATTTTTTTTAGAAAAAGGACAATTTCTCCTCTTACACCATCCACCCACTCTCTTGCCCAGTGAAAACATTCATAGACGAAAGCTAAAATTACAATGGAGCCTTGTGTGTCAGCCTGGCTCAGTTGGTTGCACTCTCACCTCAAGCGCCACATTGGGACTTGGAATCCATATAGTCTATGCTGACACACCAGTACAGTGGGGCACTGCTGTGTTTCACCTACAAAACATTCAGTCACTACACTTTACAGTATTTCTGTAAAGCGCTTTGAGACGTCTCGAAGATGTGATAAGGCGCTGTATCAAATGCAAGGATTATCATTATTACAGTGGTGCATTGTTAGAGGCACCCACCTTCAGATGAGACGTTAAACTTTCTCCCACTAAAACAATATCCGACTTCCAAATTGCATTAGGTGCACATGTTTTGTGATCGGGACAGTTTAGTAAATTGAATTGGAGCTTCGAGGAACAAAGTAGATTCTCCCAGTGGAGCAAAACCAATTATGTGGCTGTACACAAGTGCTGTTGGATGCAACAATCTGTACCTCAACAGTATTTTCTGCACACAGCAGAAATTATGAAGTAATTCAAAGCAGACTGAAGACAAAATTTGTGTTTGAGAAGTGGGGAAGAGAATAAGTTTAGGTTCAAAGGGACAAAATGACTTCTCATATTCTGCAATTTCAGTGATTGTCATTTCTGATTCTTGGAATTATCTTTTTGTAAAACCTGTAACTTTGCTGTCTCCTCTGAATACTATCGCAAGTCAGTTACTCTCTGTTCATTTTTTTTTGATACGAACAGGAAGATAATGAAGAAGGTGACGATGGAGCCTTCAGAGCGACTCGCTGCTTTGCAAGCAATGTGGGATGGTCAGAACGTTGCAGAACCAGGACCTTGTGGTGGGTGAAATTCATTCAAATTTGGGGAAGATTTGTTTTAAAATAAAATAGAGATGAAAAGTATTGCAAGCTGTAATGAACCCAATTTTTAAAAAAAAAAACTTCATTGTGATTCACTGCTTGGTCAAAACGGAGAGATTGGAAGTGAGATTATCGCTTTGAGAGGTAGCTCTGGGAACTGTGGTGTGATGTCTAACGATTTTGACATTTTTTAAGGAATGCTATGTCTATTTTTTCTGGTTAGCCCAGCTGTCTAACACATCAGGAAAGCCATCACCATGCTTAAGCGTCTCCAAAACAGACAGAGTTTTGCGCAGCTATGCCATCTGCTCACAGAAATTTCTTATGTCTGGAATGGAATGTGGACTTGTGGGTGGAAGGCACAGGAAATGGAAGAAAGATACACTCTGCTTATTAATTCCAGAGATTAATTCACCCAGGTTGGAGGGAGCTAGGACTTGGGGATCCTAGGGTGTGCATTGGAGTACTGTTGGGTGTAATCAGCTAAAACCACATAACTTGCTTAAATTTTACACGATACATTGGAAGAAACAGATTTGCTTGGCTGAGTGGCTATTTCTTCATTCTACTCATGTTTGTTTTATGAGACACATTTCTCGGGGCTTGCTGACTGAGTCTTGTAGCAAACAATCTGTTTAAATGATTTTGCATCATAGTAATTTTGAAACGATCCCTCTAATTATCCCTCTAAATTATTGTGATCCCTCTAAATGATATTATCAATTTAATGCTAACTTGGAGGCACTCATTAGAAACTTGAGAGTCGGGACTTAAAGAAACTACCCCAATGCCGTTAGCCTGGGACTGATGCAACCAGGACACTCGGAAACCTTGCATTCCATTAGTGTGGCCTGAATCCAAGCTCCAGAGGCGAAAACAATTGAGTACTATCCATTGTCCTCAATTCGTCAACTTTTTTATTACTTCTTGCCTGCTGTAGACTATAGTGACTGATTTGATTTAAATAGTAATAGAGAGCTAATTATCCACACTAAGTGGCAGGCCTGGCCCCTTTTGCGAATACGCAAACGTAATTTTGACATTCTATAAAATTATACTCTTTGCTGCTCTTTAGATGAACACGCGCCAGCTTTGTTCAGTTGTTTGCATTGAGTCAGGTGTTTCTATGTTCAAACCACACATTGGAACATTGTTGAGCTTACATTCTCGGCTGACACTCGTGCAGTTTTTGGAGGTGCCGTTCTTCGGATGAGACATTTAACTGAGAATTTCTGTTCAAGTTGACATTAGATCCTATAACACGATTGAAAAGAGTCATCCAAAAAATCGGTCATTCACTTCATGGCTGTTTCCTTCAAGCACATTGAGAGGTGTTGCTGATATAGATGCTATATCAACTGCAAGAATTATTGCTACTTATTATTAATGGATTATCTGATGAGGGTGGCACGTTTAGGTATCAGCCTAGCTCAGTTGATGGCACTCTCACTTCAGTGTCAGGCTGTGGGCTCAATCCCAATGGCAGGACTTTGAAATCAGTCTAGGCTGAAACTCCAATACAGTGCTGCATTGTCAGAGGTGTCATACTTTAGATGAGACATTAAACCAAGGTCCCGTCCATCTGCTCAAGTGAATCTTAAGATCCCATGGCAGTATTTGAAAAGAGAAGGAAGTTTCTCCTAGTATCCTGGCCAACAATCTCCCAGCTAAAATTCACTTTTTGGCTGTTTGTGTGACATTGTGTGCAAAAATAACTACCTATAAAAATATACAATGATTGTAATTTACAGTATATCCTGTGAAGCGATTTGAAACATTACCTGACATAAAACGTGTTATATCAAATCCAAGCATTTTCATCATTTTTCCTGTTGCTAAATGCCGTCCCAAGGGCTTGATGTGTAACTTTTGTTGAATTGGTCAGAAATCAAGGAGTTTGCACCCAACCCCCAGCTTGGATGCAAACTCTCAACTATCAAGCACCTCAGGATGTCCTCCCAGTACTATATGAATACAATTTGTTGTTGTTTTGTGTTGCATATAAACAGTACTAATTGTAGTGTTATTCGTTTTTAATTTGGATAGAATCAGATTTCAGTTTTTGTATTTAAACCCCTTTGTGTTGATTCCAGGTGGGTTCTCCCAGGTCTATGCCTTTGTCTGTGACTGGCTTGGGCTGCCGTATAGGGAGGAAGTGCAGTGGGTAAGCTCACCTTCCAAAACACTTTAAAGATTGCAGTACCATTTTTGCATGAAATAAGATTAAAAAGCTGGCAATATTACAGTTCAAAGGATAAAGCAAATGGGAAAAATAATTATGTGATGTTACACATTTCTGCTGTTGGCAAGACTGAAAATGGGTGATTTTGGTTAAAGATTGGAAAAATTGGCAAAAATTTTGAAGATCTTAGAAGAATAAATTATGCACAAATAAGCCATTATAGCCTTTGAGTGTGAGTTTATCAAAGATCCGTGGTAACCGGAAGCGTGGAACACACACCTTCTGCATTGGTTAGTCGGTTTCCCGTATTGAATATTGTCTGGCTTCAAGTTGTTAGGTTGCCACTGATGTCACATTCTGAATGTGTGCGTGGACACTGTGTGCAGGGAGTGCCACCAACATCACTTTCTGCGTGTTGGTTATGTGCAATTGATGTCGCTTCACAAAGAAAGTGACATGAGTGGCACTTCCTCCATGTAGCATGAATGCACATAGGAAATGCCATCAGCTGCACTTCTTGCACATATGTGGAGCATGCAGGAAGTGATGTTAGCAGCGATGTGACTATCTGGAATTCTGATTTTTTTTCATCTTTATAATGAAGTCCCTGAGACTTTAGGCACAGCCACCAGGTTATAAAGTTTCCCTGTATGTCCTACTTTGTAGAATCATTTATATATACATTTTTTTAAAAATGGTTCATATCTGCTGATTACAGACTGAATAACAAATCTATTTGATCCTGATCCCAATCTTTTATGCTTTCAAAGGACGTTGATACAATTTATCTAACACAAGATACCAGGGAACTGAACTTACAGGACTTCAGCCATCTGGATCACAGGTAAATGCAAATGTTACACTGGGTCCATTCACTTTGCTTTGTAATTGCTTTCTCAGTGATCGCTTAAAGCTGCTTTGCCATTGTTGTTGGCTGACTCTTAATTTAGTTGCAAACCCATACAGAATGGTGCTAAAAAGTTTTGAAAGAAATCACTTGAGATTTAGGTGATTAAACGCCAGGTCGTTTGATCTCATCCAACTATTCCACCAGCAAGCTGGAATTTAAAAGAATGTTTAATTTAAAAGAATGATGGGACTGATCAGTGAGACCTGACAAAATGCAAAGATTGTATTTGTAAAAAATAATCAGGCTTCCTAGACCATTGTTTTTGGTCAAGTGGATGAAACTGGAAAATCCTGCAGCCTGTTTGATTTGGTATGTTCCATTAACTGCCCTTATCTAAAATATGGGGTTCTAAATATAAAGTTGGGGTATTTCCTAATGAAATTATTTCATAAGGAATCTGAGTTGTGCAAACAGCGATTCCAGACGTTCTTCATTCCAGGCCACAGGAGATCGACTGTGACACAATTCACTCTCAGAACAGATTTCCTGCAGATTAACAGAATCCATTTAAGAAATATCACAAGTTAATCCATTATGCGACAAGCTCTTTCGGGTGCATTAGATCTGTTTACTGTCAATTATTTAAAGAAGCAGGGTTCAGCATCTGAATTACAATAATTCAAAGTAAAGTAATGTCTCTTTTTGCCTTTTAGAGATTTGATACCAATTGTTGCTGCTCTTGAGTACAACCAGTGGTTCACAAAACTCTCCTCTAAGGATCTTAAATTGGTAAGTAAATTTGTAACACTTTCACACTGCGCATCTAGGGTGCCAGCACTCCTGCTGTCTCAGGCAACAACAACAACAAATTACATTTGACGCTGGGAGGATGTCCCAAGGTGCTGGACAATCAGGGATTTGGACCATCTGTAATAAAAGAGGCCAACTATAATAAAAGTTGTGACTTACTTTTGGCCTTCAATAGCTGGAAACCATTTGTTGCAGAGTCAGGTCTGTCGCTGCTCCAGCATGTGTTTTTGCTGCAGGCAGATTTCATTTTCTAAACAATTTTAGTCCACAGATGTTTGTGACCAAATTCTACGAGTTGTTGCCAGATCCACACGTTTAGAGGAGTTGGTGCTGGAAAATGCAGGACTCAAAACGTAAGTACATTTGCTTTTTTTAAAGGGGTAGCTTCCTTCCCAGAATTTGTATTTGCAAGCTTTTCCTTGGGAGCTACAAAGTCGCAAATAAGCCCCAATTACAACTTAATACAAGAAATTTATATAGAGCCTTTTACGTTAGGATGACATCTCATAGCGCTTTACACAGCTGGCTGGATACCCAGATTTGGGAGCGTCTGAGGAGTGGCGGGCAAGATGACCAGAAGCACAGTCAGGTGTTGAGGAGGGCTTTAAAAGTTCAAGGAGGCAGGGAGGAATTTTATTTAATATCTTAATAGTTGCCTTGAGTGTCTGGACAGTCACAGGGATTACCATGTCTCTGCATTTACATTTGGAGTGCTAAAGGACTCAAATGATGTTGAACTTCTTGATAATGAGTCCTTAAACTTTACACATTCATTGGTGAGCTGAGCTCTGAATAAGTTTGATGTTGAGAGTACTAGGCTCTCTTAATAAGACATTATTTTTGTACTTTTCATGCAAAGTCTTCAAAGGCAACAACAGTTTGCATTTACGTAGCGCCCTTTACGCGGGGTAGCGTCCTGGAGTGCTTAAAGCAGCTCTAAGCCAGGATTAATTTCATAATAAAATTTTGAGGACTTCAAAAATAAAACTTGGAGGACTTGTATCCAAGGGCATTTCAGTATGAAGATGTACAGTTACTGGAAGCTCTTGGAATATTAAAAATCTGTCTTGCTAGGACGATTTGAGATGTATATGTGTTAAAAAAAACTAAGTGTATTATATTGCTGTTCCTAATGGAAGACAAAATTGCATTCATGAGCCTTTCTGTGGAATATTCATTTCATACCAAATTTGCCATCAGCAGCAACAAGCAATTGTTCCCAAAAAATAGGGATGAGACATTGAGTTTAGTTTTGCAATAAACCAAAGTTTGAATGAATTTGTGGAAGAACATTTTATACGATGTACGAAACATCACTGACTGTTTTCTTATGTGAATTATTTGAAGCCACAAAACATAGATCACAAAAAATTGGTTCTTTGTACAGACACAGATTTTTCTCACTTGAACCAGTAGCTACTGCATGTTAATTAGCTAGACTCTGAAGGGGAATGTAGTCAGAAAGACCTTTGGGATAGAAACCAGTGTTCAAAAAAAAGTTGTGGGATTTTTTTTTTTGCCTTTCAGCATTTCTTTTTTGCCTTTCGGTCCTAACTGGTCTCATGCATGTAATTGTGTGAGTGGTTTGGTCATTCCTTTGTTTCTGAATACAGAAGTGCAGCATAATCACTGCACAGCTCTGCTCTTTCCTTAATTTACACCTTGAGCCACATCAGATTGGTCATGGTTAGACCTACATGATGTGACCATTCTTAGGGCTTATTTTGGTAGGTTTCTGTATAGGTGATGTAACTACCAATCGAACTGCATTTTTTAATAATCAGGTCTCTCACTTTCACTTGAGTAAAGAAGGCCAATGATGTGATCAATCCCTGGTAGACACAAGCCTGTGACTGACATGTTACTGAGGGAAGGAGCAGGTATATGGTTGTAGATGAAGTTGAATTTGAGGTGCTATATCATTGCGTTTGGGTGGATTATTCACATACACGGGTACTGTCCTTCAACTCATTTATTTCAAATTCAGTGCGGTACTTACTGTAGTTTTTTACCGCTGTTTGGCAACCCATCTCTTAATGCTTTTATCTCTATTTTTCCCATCCAGGGATTTTGCACAGAAATTGGCCGGTGCCCTAGCGCATAATTCCAGTTCAGGACTTCACACAATCAACCTTGCCAATAACCAACTGGAGGACAGAGGTAGATGATAATAATAATAATAATAATAATAAAAGATGTCCGTTTCATGCATTGTCCCTGTTGTAGTGATTATGTCTCCCAAGTCTTTTTTAGCTGGATTGGCATCATTGTTCCTGAGAGGTGTGTAGAAAACCTATTTCCCGAAGGCCACTTAAGGCAGAGCATTTCTGTAATGTGCCATTGGTGCCATTGAGGTTGGGTGCCATCTGCTGTTAAATGGGAAAGCCATGTGACTTTGCATATTGTGCCACCTTTAATAAGTAGCTTTTTCAATACTTTGGGATTAGCTTCAAAATAAACTTCATTATAATTCAATGTGGTTGGGTGGTGCTTTGTCCAACAAAGGAAGCTACAGAACTTGAAACTGACAAAAAATACTATTTAATATATTTTTGTGCTAAAGATCTCATAGCACTTGTTTGAAAAGAGAGAGGGGTTCTTCTAAGTGTCCAGGCCAACAATCCCCCAGTTAAAAGTTGTTCATTCACATCATACCTTTGTGTGACATTGCATGTGTAAATTGGTTCCGCGTTTACCAGCAAATACACTTTACAGTAAAATCCTGTGAATTTTGAGACATATCAATGGCATAATGAGGCACTACATCAAATGTAAGAATAATTAGTAATATTATGCTCTGTAAGCCTGTAAGTTAATTATAAATGATAAAAATTGTGAAATTTATTGTAATTATGACTCATTGCAGGTACCATGATATCAGCACAGACAAAGCTATTTTGGGATTCATTTACCAGCGTGTAAAGAGTTGAAATGCAAGATGGCATTTAAACATTAAATTGATTAAAAAAAACATTTAAAAATGGTGTTTTTTTGATTACCATTTTCTCAATTCTATTCAGAGACTCTCAATCGCTTGAGTGCAAAGTTCTGACTAGTAATCCCCCGTGTCGGTGATACAGGGCAATGTAAATGCAAAGTGACTCCTGAGATTTGTTAATCAAATTTCACTACAGTGAGCAGTTTGCTTTCAGATTATAATTTTGTTTTCTGTTATTTCACGCAAGGTTGTACACTGGGAGCAACGGATTTGATCTAATCTTATTAGCAGAAGGGATTAGGACAGAGTCTTCAAATCCACTAATAGTTTAAAAGTTTTCAAATTTCTACCCATGAATGAGCTTTCCTACCTTACTATGAACAATCATAGTGCTTCTGTGTAGAGGGACTGATGTTATTCACTGAACAGTAATAGATACTGTAGGTCATTTTCAAAGCTTGGCAGCCTCTAGGTGTTTTGCTCACAAAATACACATTCTACTCAAGGTCCCAAATCTACAGTGTGGTGATATTTTTCTAACACTGTCGACATGCAGTATGTTTTAGTCATAACATGGGCTGTAGAAAATTGAACTGTTTTACCCATTAGTTAAACCAACAAACAACACTCAAATAAGTGCTTCCTATTCTAATTTTGGAATAAAAAACATAATCATGCATATGAAATGCATCCTGCCTGAGCTAAATGCATGCATTTTTAATGCCTCCTTGCACCGTTAAGTGGGAGTGCAAGTAGAAGAAAATGCCCGTTTAATGGAAGAGGATATCTTCAGCGGTAAAACTCAGTGTGTCTTGAACATGTACCTTCTGTAAAATGTACCAAAATATTTAAATACAATACAACAAAATACAAGTGAACCATATAACAGTCTCCAAATAGCACTGCCTCACTTGTAACTGTGGTCTTATGCTTATCAGTAGCACGGTACATATGAGACAGTTTTGATTCCAACAAGACAGTTTTCCACACTAGAAAAAGGCTGACATTTGAGTTGTCAGATCATACATAGTGTGACATAGTGACATTCTTGCATTTCCTTACCTTGGTGATCCATGAAGCAAGTTGGTTCATTGCTATATTTAAGCCCAAAGATCCTGTTTGCCAATCATAATAATTTATATTTTCTTGGACCATCAGACTGGTTAGCATCAGCTTCTGTTTTAAGTGTAGTGTTTATTCAAAAAATAGAATCCAGGAAGTACAGCACAGTACACCAACATTCAGCCCATCGTCTCTGTGTTGGTACAAGCTCTTCCACTAGAGCAATCTGCTCTAATCTCAGTCCACTGCTTTCCCAGTTCCTATTAATATTTTTCAGTATTTATCCAGTTCCCTTTAAGGTGATGTTATAACTCAGCTTCAGCAGACATAAAATAAATAAAACATTCTACATTCTAACAATCCTTTGGAAGATAAAATATAAAAATTTCTTTTGACCTTTTATCTCCAAGTGATCATCCTCAATTTATTCCATCTTGTTACTGACTCGCAGATCAGTAATTACCCAAACTAAAAAAAATCATAATTCCTTTTTTATTAGATTTAACTTCCCTCCCCCGTCCTCTTCCTCCCCTTGTATTATCATGGTCAGCTTTTACCTTGTCCAAGGGAAGCAAACCCCAAGCTTTGCATTGATGTGCTCATATTTAAGTGGAGATTCGTGGTTTAATGTTTCTAACAATCATGGTATTCAGTTTTGTCATTGCCTTAATATGTGACTTTTTTTTTCCAGGGGTGTCTTCCTTGAGCTGCCAGTTTGCCAAAATTCCAAAGGGACTGAAACACTTAAACCTTTCTAAAAGCTCCTTGTCACCTAAAGGTACAGTAACTGGACTGTATTATCATATAAATGTTGAGGATAGGAGAAGACTGTATGCATCATTCAAACAACAGAATGATTGGAACAAAGAACACCTTGTGCTTATCTAGCACGGTTCATCTGAGATGTACCATCTCACAGAGGCAATAGGGAGGAGGAGAGGAAGGGGAATTTAATGTTAACCAAAGGGAGAACAAAGGTCACAGAGAGATGTTGTTTGAGAGTGTAGAAAGGAACAAGGCACAGGAATTTTAGGAAGGAGTTCTAGACAGTAAGGAGTTAATGGCTGAAGGCTCGGCTGGTTATCATAATTATGGTTTTCTTCCATACACTGACAGGATGACCGTCCACTGCCAAGCTCCTGCCAATAGTGTTTCATAAAGGGTCACACACGCATTCTAGGTGGGTTCTTGTCTTTTTTTCCCTTCCCTAAGGTCTTCAATCAGTGCTTCCCATTTTTTTTGTTGTCTTGGTCCACACCAAGGATTTGAGGATTTTTCTGTGTTATCTTACATCCCTGTGGCACAATGTAAAGCATAATATTTTAACCCATTCCTTTGTCTGCTCTAGAAATTTTGAAATGTTCTGTTCATGGGTTTGTAACGGGTCTTCTAGTGAGCTTTACGTTGTACCTAAAAGTGCTTAATTTGGGAAACTTGCATGTTAACAACGGGACTTAAAACCCATCTGATGGCATCACCCAGGGAAATGTTAAGCCAAACAGACCGGAATGTCACAGGTGCTGAGCTAAAATATCACATGATGGGAAGTATGTTGAGGCCCAAAATTGGCATCAGTGACCCTGGGATTTGGGAGGAAAAAGATACCCACTTATGATTGCTATCCAGAGGACCCTGATGAGAGTTAAAGGCATGATCAGATCCAGCTGTTATTTGCCCCTCAGCAATTAAATCATATGTTGAGACTTACTGTCAAAGCAAACAGATCAATAATAGAAACTGGGGCAAGGTGTCAGAAGGTGCCTGGTGAAACAAAAATGATATTTACAGCAAAGGCAGTCAAACTGAAAGAGAAAGGAAAAGAATAGAATTGTCATGTGTAAGCACATATAATTTGCATCAGCTCTATTGACGTGTAGATATTGTATTCATCCCTGACAGAAGGAATAACAATTTCGTAAATCACACTCAAAACCTTATGAATTACCCAACTCTTAATTTTAACAGGCTGCTGATGGGAAAAAATACCAGGTAATTCCCATCAATCATAGACCTTGGAGCTAATTTACAGTTCAGTTGTGTGTAAGCTGCACTGCAGTACACCGTCAGCAAAACTTTATGCTGTGCAGCTTTCTGCCATGGTATTGTTGACTATGCAAAATATAAGGAGGGGGTTTCATACCAATAATCTTATTTAAAATTCTTATTGACTGAAATCTTTTATTTGAATTAGATACCCGTTGTTTCCAATTTACTGACGTGTGATTTTATTTCCACAAAAAGAAAGACAACATTAAGAACAGAAAATTGTCCAGTAATTCCAGAGGGTGTTGTTAAAGTTCTGTGCTCACATTTGTACAATTACCTCAGTGTTTAATCAGGAGTTCCATTAAGCAAAGGTTCAGGACCATCAATCTAAATTTATTGTCAACATGAGCCAACCTCAACCACTTGCAGCACTCAGGCAACATTCCCAGCAGCAAGGGAATCATTGTGTTCCATCCACTGTTTAATCTTATGTGTCCATGCTCATTTATTTAACTTTCAATCCCATTCTTAACCAGATATTAATCCATTTTATTTTAATAAAAGGGTGTCGATCACCAAAGTATTAACTGCTTGCGTCAATCCACTTTATTCCAGATATCTACTGTCATGTAGAAGATAAAATATTCTGATCTTTAGTCTTGCTTGAGGGTGATGTAATTTTGCATTTGTGCCCTCAAGGTCTTTAATCTGCACTTGGTTAAACCTGCTTACATTAACATGATTAGTGCTACTCAGAATCAGGTTTTCCTCCCCCAATTCTTTTTCCAATGAAAACAAATAAAATTTTGTGGAACTTTTCCTCATAATAAAGGAATTAATACTAAATATTTTTTGTTCATACCTAAACCTTCTCCAGTGATTTAAAGTATTCAGGGTCAAAGTAATGTGCTTTGAAATATCTTTGATATGTATCTCAGAGTTGGTTTAGCCTGTCTAGGAATTCCACATTGATTGAATACTAATAATCCTTGCATTTAATGTAGTGACTTATCACGTCTTCGAGACATCTCAAAGCGCTTCACAGAATGCACTGTAAAGCGAATTGACTGTATATTTTGTGGGATTATTACCCCGGAAAGCAATCTGCCAATAGACTAACAACCGGGTTCTTTCTTACTGCTAATTTGTTTGCTTGGAATGATTTGTTGGTCATCAAGCGGAATGCCAGAAAAATATTTTGTAATTATCTTCCACATTGTCTTGAATCTGTTTTTGAATCTGCATGTCATTGGCTCAATGTAGTCTATCAGTCCCTAAGATGATGTGATCAGACAATGAATTTATTTAAGGCCTTCATTAGTGAAGACTGATGTGAATAATGTATTTCTTGAAATTGCTATTTCATGACTGCCTGTAATATTTCTACTGAATTTGTGCCCTGAAAGATTTGGCTAGACTTTAGCGCCTCACCTGCTTCATAGATAAATGGGGGAGAAATTCAATATCCCACTTGCTGTTATCTACAGGTCATCTCTGCATTGGAGTTGAAAAAATCATTCTTCAGGAAAGTGGAAAATTACTGGTACCTTGGTGCCATAAAAAAACATCTTGTACTGCAAACTTCATCTCCAGGAGTGAACCTCATGTACCTCATGCTGACCGTTGAGACCTCAGCATTGACCCTAGATAGCCAAGGTCTAACAAGAGCTATTTCAACCTCAGTGTCATGTTTACCCTGATACTTGTATAGAAGTCACTTAAGAATAATTGAAATGACTCTCACGTTCTCTATATTATAATAAGTCTTCTTAGGCTTTAGGTTCTGTTTGACCTTAAACTCAATTCTGCCTGTTCAGATAGATGTTAAAGATCCCAAGAGTTTCCTGGCCAACAGTCCTCAGGAAAAATTGGTCATTCATGGCAGGGCTGTTTGTCAGACATTGCTATGGGGAAAGGGCTGTCGCATGTGCCCATAAAATACGAAATCACTGCACTTTACACATCCCGTGAAGCTCTTTGGGAGGTCCTCTTAACATGAAAGGCACTATATCAAATGTAAGGATGATTATTATTATTTAATAATCTAAATAAACAATTCTTGGACACTATCTGTTGAACAGTTATGTTGAACTCTGTCTGTTGACTGCTAAATTAATAAAACATCTGTCCCAGTCTGCGCCTGCCTTGTTTTAAGAAATGCTCACTTAATTTGCATGAAATGACGTCTTTTCATTTAAATTGTTGTCACGATTTGAACATTATCTTGATTTATTGAAATACCCTTACTTATCTTAGCCTCGTTTCAATATCAATCATTAACCTGCAAATTCAAACAGATTATGCTTAATACGTCTTGATTTCCTGTAAAGATACCGAAGATTAACCTTCAGCAGTTTCTTAGTTATACAGAAATGTAGATACATTTTATGCTCACCACAGCAAAGCCTGATACAGTTGTCCTCACTCCACCCCCCTCTGTTTACCAAGCAGTAAATTAGAAACCAGTTGTTAGTCGATTGCAGATCGCATTTCCCTGGGTAATAATCCCTTCAAAAATAATAATAATTTGGTCACTCAATCCACGACTGTTTGTGGGACACTGCTGTCCGAAATTGACTGCTGCGTTTCGTCCGTAAGATTTTCAGTCAATTCGCTTTACAGTATATTCTGTGAAGCGCTTTGAGACATCTCGATGTGATAAGGCACTATATCAAATGCAAATGCAAGGATTATTATTCTACATGTCAAGGTTTACACCTAATTAAACTGTGGGCCGAACCAGCAAATAGCGTGCCAATATCAATCATTAGCCTGCTATTCAACACGTCAAGGAATAGGTTTTGGATGGGATACATCTTGACTGAGATCCAAAAGATTGCAATTTTGCACTAGGACTTTATAGTAATAGCACTTTTTTCCTCCTCCATTCAAATACCCCTTCAAGTTTTGTGTAACGTGACTTATTAATATGTTGCCTAAATCCATGGAAATCTAGAAATGAACAGCAGTCTGAGACCATTCAGCCTCCTTTTTCATGTCGGTGTTTGTTTGTCTAAGAAGCCATCCATTTTATTCCCAATTCCCTGCTCTCTCCTTGTACTTTCTTACACCCTTCCTTTGCATCTAATTTCTGAAGAATTTCCTGATGTAAAGTACAAATGGGTTTGAGGTGGAAAGAAACTTAAATAGTCTGAGAACAGAAGTGAGCTGTGCTTATCTAATTCTCTTTTAAATCCTTCAGTTGATTCTGCTAAATCATTCATGATCTGGGTTTGCAATGTAGAATATTTTTTCTGAACCAGTAATACACACCCTAATTTATAGTTCTTAAAAGGAAATAAATGGTGAGTTTACACCTAAACAAGTGTTTTATATTTCAGTTGGGAGATGCTAATGCATTACATTTCCCTATGGATATAATTCACATGTCAATTTCACAGCTCACTTCTGTTCTCAGACCTATTAAAGTTTCTTTCCAGCTCAAACCCATTTGTACTTTACATCAGGAAATTCTTCAGAAAGCACAGAATTTCAAAATCAGATCCATGTGGGAGAAGGTATGGGACCTCTCCTGGTAATATTCATTAATGTCATGGACACAACAACAACAACTTGCATTTATATAGCGCCTGTCACGCGGGGTAGCGTCCTGGATACACAGATTCAGTACAAAGTAGTTAAACGTGCAGGTGAAGCCAAGGAAGTATTTCTTTACATGGAGGGTAATCGACCGGAGGAAGGGGTTACTGGATATGAGATGGAACTGTACTTATTTAGAAATAGGTTGACGCTCTAATGGGAGGATGGTTGTGTGAGACCTCTGAAAGTCTGGTCTGGGTTTGAATATCCAAAACGCCTTTACGATTTCAATCTCTCATGGTTTGAAACTTAATCAAATACCTTCAGCTCCTTATTACACATTTTGCCAGCAGTCAAAGGCTTTTGAGCATCGATGTGTGTGTGTGCGCGTGTGTTTTGAGCTCTGTGTTCCTCTGACTGGATTGTGGTGTATTCAGAACAGTCCAGCTCAGTGCTGGTTCTCCACTTAAAACTTCTGGAAGCAGCTACTGGAGTTAAATGGTGCTTGAAAATGGTTTCAAGTGCTGACCTTGAAGCTTCTGCTGCATCTCTGCTGTAAATAACTACTATTCCTCCTCATATCGAGTGCCATAAGGATTGAGGGGATTGGGTTTCCATAATGCTGCAGAAACAACATTTTATCTAGGGTTAACAGAATCGATTCTCTTCCGCACTAATGCATTTGGTTCTTACACTGACCAAGATTAGGGATTATACTTTAAATTAATTGAACTGATTAGAATTTAATGAAACTGTGGGTGTGGGATAGAGTTTATAAATCTGTGCAGATGAGACGACAATAATGAATTAGACTGAAGTCTGTAATGAATTCTGTGGTGGAGTAGAATTAAAATGAAATATGATCTGATGTGAATTGCTTATGGGGTCAGATTAAATACATGGATCAGTCAGTAAAATGTTTTACAGTGTATATTTTTATATTGAGTAATTAATCACTAGCTTTTGAAATAAACAAAACCTCATTTTTTTTAAAAATCTTCTTAAAACTTATTTTGTAATTATTTTGGAGTTCATCAAAGTGACTTACTTAATAGGGATTGTCTCTACCCTCTTGTTGAGGGATCCACAACAGGAAACAAAATGTTAAAATTAGAACTCAGTCAGTTAGGAGTGAGTTCACAAAAAAATCTTTACACAGAGGTTGTGGCATTGTTGATTCAGAATAGTTTGGCACATTTAAAAGAGAAATGTTTAAATATATAGGAAGTGAAAGACATGGAGCAAAGGCAGAAATAGGATTGAAAGATCTGCTAATGATCTAAGAAAACAGCAATCTGCATTTATGTTGTGCCCTTCATGTAGGATAGACTTTCTGTGCGCTGAACAGGGGCAGGGTTGGACACTAAGCAAAGGGGAAGGGGAGGTGACCAAAGAACCTGTTCAACAACTCAATTGCCCAACACCTATCGCCCACAAATATACAGTCAATTCACTTTACAGCATATTCTGTGAAGCGCTTTTTTGAGCTGTCTAGAAGATGTGAAAAGTGCTATATTAATTACAACGATTATTATTATTATTATGTTCTGACTGCTCCAGTATGAACTTCATTTACATAATCAACCAGGTTACTAATTCAAATCCATCTTAATTCTGAGCGCTTTTGGCCTTTATAGGTGTATTCCATGGGGAACTCGGATAGGCATATCAGATCAGGAAGAGGCCATTGAACCTGTTCCAGGATGGCAGAATTTTTATCCCCATTTTTCTGACTTTTTCCCAATGCCCCTTAATACCAGTACTTTTGAACTACCTATCTATCTTTCTTTTCAACAGCCAGTATCATTGGGACCATACCATAGCAGCTAAATTAAGAGAAAATGTGTGGGAGTAACGATCAGAAACGATTCAGAAAGCAGGAATTTGATAGTAAACGAGGAGGCCCCTTTGCGATGGAACAGGAGTTAACAGGGAACTTTAGCGGGTTGGTAAATAAATTGATTGATATCCTGTAATTTTGTGTAGTAATTGTAATTACTTTTCTTACTACCCTTACAGAGCTCATATTTTGTTTTCCTCTGACTAGAAGAGTGGTATATGCAGAACAGTCTTGCTCAGTGCTGGTTCTCCACTTAAAACTGCTGGAAGCAATTACTGGGGTTAAATTGTGCTTGTAGTATAACTAGCATTGGTAATAATAATAATTATTAATTATCTAAAACCAGATTCCCTTGGGGACACTCTAGAGATCTATACGATGCTAAATAGGAAAGAGAAAGCAAACCCAGTTTAATATTTTGCAATTTACTGGGAATAAGGGCACAGGTTCAGTTCTGTGAATGCCAACTATATGCTGTAGGTAATTAAGGTGATAGCAAGCGTGGTTTATGCCAGGATTCTTTCAAGACATGGCTTGATGTGTTGTAATGAAAAAATAGTACAGTGGGTATTCTGGAAGAATGAGATCAAAGGGCCTTCTTAATCTATCTGACTATCTCTTGTCATCCCACAGTGTCTATTCCATTAAAATAAACCTTTAAAAGGACGAATGCAGGTATAAACACACATCATCCATTCTATATGCATTTATGAAAAGTAATACTCAACCAGCACAAATGCTTGTCTTTTAAATTAAGACTTTTTAATAATGTTTGATGGTTAATTCAAAGATTGTGTGGCTCAGAAATAGGCCATTCGGCCTAACTTGTCCAGCTGGTATTTATATTCCATGCATGTGTCTATGAACATAAGAACATAAGAATTAGGAGCAGGAGTAGGCCATTCAGCCCCTCGAGTCTGCCCCACCATTTGATAAGATCATGGCTGATCTTCAGATCTAACTCTAATTACCTGCCCTATCCCCATATCCCCTAATCCCTCTATTTTTTTAAAAAATCTATCAGTCTCAGCCTTGAAGATGTTCAAGGACTGAGCATCTACAGCCTTCCTGGGTAGTGAACTACCCTCTGAGTGAAGAAATGCCTAATACTCTTAGTATAAAAATTGAGAGAGCTTACCTTTGCAGAAAAACTTGAAATCATCCATTTGTAAATCGGTGCTGCATTAATATTTAAGGATTTTAGCAAGTTAGATTTTTTGGGGGGTCAAATGTTTCCTTTCCTGATGGGAATCAAACCTTGGACTTTCCTGGTCTGAATACATCAACTGCGCTATTTAAACTTGTGTATGAATCTTGCTTTTAATAAGCCTATGCCTGATGAATTACTTCAGTTATGGCTTCCTTAATTTTAAATAAAATAGTACCAAGAAAATGATTTAATTCTTGACGTTGATTGTGTGGTAAAAGAGCAAATTAGGTACGTTGAACATGGAAAATGTCCCGCGGTGGGGGGTCATTTTGATGCAGCCAAAAAGTATTCCATCTATACCAAAGACTCATGCACAGAGTGCAGGAGTGTTCTTTGCAATGATCTGCAGCTCAGATAATATCTCTTGACACTAGTGAAATTAGATTTACATGAAAATCTGCATATGTGTCAATCATAAAATATTCATGATAAGATATTGGATATTAGTAATTCCTCTTGTTAGCAATCATAACAGTTTGTTTAAATTACATTAACACAACTGTGATGATGCTAATTTAACGATCTTTTAAACCCTACATCAATGCCATGACCCATTCTGCCTACCTCCCCCCACAGGTCACCTTCATCTATTCTTTCATCACCCCCAGGCTTCACTAAGCTAAACCCCTGCTCGCCGGACTTCCCAACTCTTGCCTCCGCAAACTGCAGATTATTCAGAACTCTGCAACTTGTGTTCTCTCCCGCACCAGGCTCCGTGAGCCACTCATCCCTATCCTTGCCCGGCTTCATATCCCCTAGAGGATCCAGTTCAGATCCTCGTCTTCACTTTTAAAGCCTTCAATGGTCTTGTTCCTCCTTACCTCTACAACCTGCTAAAAGTGACCAAACTTGGCGGGCACTGGCCTGCTCCATGTCCTCCGCCCTGCTCGCTCCACATCGGTAGTCAAGCCTTCAGCCTTTCTGCTCCCATCCTTCGGAAGTCCATCCTGGAATCCCCCGCCCTCGCTGGCACCTTTGCCTACTTCAAATCCTGTCTTAAGACCTTCCTCTTTGACCATGCGTTTGGTCATTCTCCCACCCCATTGCCCTCCACCCACCTTGATTCCAACCCCCAGCTGGGGTGCAAACCCTTGACTGTCCGGCGCATTGGGATGTCCTCTCAATGTGAAAGATGTTCCATAATTGCTTTTTTTGTTGTTATTGCTCCGACTCCTGAAGGTCACACACACAAACTTTCTTCAGTCCTGCAATGAGAATGCTGCACTAACTAATGTTACCTTGAGTGTAACATCAACAGCTAGATTGTTTTGTGAAATAGAAATGAGTCTTGCATTATCCTGTAGCTTAGTGGTTAGAGCACTCGCCTCGTAAGCGAGAGGGCTAGGGTTCAATTCCCAGGCAGGGCGAAACTTTAGGCGATCTTCCTTACTCCACACACCTGTTTACCGAGTACAACCCGGTTGTTAGTTCATTGGTGTATCAGGGTAATAATCCCTTCAAAAAAATAATAATTTGGTCACTCAATCTACAACTGTTCGTGGGACACTGCTATGCGCAATTGGCTGCTGCATTTCTCACATAAAATATACAGTCAATTCACTTCACAGTATATTCTGTGAAGCACTTTGAGACGTCTCAAAGATGTGATAAGGCACTAAAAAGAAATGTAAGGATTATTATTATCCTAGTTGTTCACAAATCTTTAAAGGGTATCATATTTCCCATCAATTCTTCAGGAATTCACTTACCGTTATCAAGAGAATTTTTTTCCAGCCATGTGACTGCCTGTAATTAATGTTTGTAGCATGTATTAGTACTCCTTAAAAACTTTGGATGACCTTATTAAATCTATTCTGTATTGTTACAGGGGTGAACAGCCTTGCCCTGTCACTGAGTGCCAACCAGCTAATTCCCAACTTCCTCACACATCTCGACCTCTCAGGGAACCTGCTCCGTGGAGACGATCTATCGGTATGCTGTATTTTATCCGTATTTTATTGCAGTGATAAATAACTCTGTTTATGTTCATTTTAATGGTTCAGACTGCATTCTCGCAGTTTAAATGTTGGGTTATTTGCTACATTAAGCAATCGACCAGTTGTTTGAAGACTGATGCCTCCTGAGAAGAAGAATAAATACCGTGTGGAACACAAGCACAGCGGAACCAATTAGACTGTAATCTGGAAGAAATGTCAGTTTATTGAAGGTTATGTTAAATTTCACTCTTAGGCAAGAGAGGCAGAAGAGGAACAGAGTGAGCAGAAAACACTTCAAATGGGGGAATATTTTAATTAGGTTTAATTTCAATTTAATTTTAATCTTCGACCATGACAATTTTGTTGCAGACCTAGATGGCATCAGAGCTGAGTTCCCATCTAGTTGTTGTGGTGTATTTCTGGTTACTGGAAGGAATCACTAGCTGCGTAAATCTTATTCCTTACCAAAGAATCCTGTCAACAAAATATTGTAAAACACACCACTGGAAGTTTATTTTTTTATGTCCTTACACTCAATGGCACAATCTCTTTCTATAGAAAAAATTAAATATTGTAAAAGATATCCATTGGCATTCCTAACATTGTCATTTCTACTTGGATATACACAGTAAATTTGTTTCACTGTAATGTGTGTTTGGGAGCCATAAAATCTCAACCCGTGCAATCGTGAGGAAAGGGAGCCAGTTTCATTGTGGGTGCATGCAGCTGTTTTAATTGGGTTATCCAAGGTATAGAGTTAGCATGCAGCTTGCGATGAGCCCCACATGTTCCCTCCACATAACCTCATTCACCTTATAAAGATCAAGGTGATTGTGGGTGCAATCATTTTAATGTGGATCGGCACTTGTTTTGCAATGTTATCAAAATAACATGCATTACCAGAATAGAAAGGTAATGCCATTTGTGTTTACAGATCAACAGTGCCGGATGCTGTTTTGTTCTCAACATTTTTAAAATTTATTTTTTCACAGAACCTGTACAATTTTCTGGCTCAGCCAAACACCCTTATTCATCTTGATCTATCAAACACAGACTGTGCGTTAGATATGGTAAGATCACAATGTTTATCTAATTAGTACATTTATGATTGAATTCAATTACCTTATGCTACATGTGAAAGAATTGAAACTTCACTATAGATAGTTTCAAAGTTATGATATAACACAATGGGATCTCATTTACATACTGTCATCATTCCATTAATTGCACTTTCCTTTGTATGAATTTTGCAGCCTGCAAAGTCCCCCAAAAGTCTGGAGTGTAAAATGTAACGTGCAAAATTTTGCAAAAACTCTTAACTTCAGTTTCAATTGGAAACCAGTTGTACAATACAATACAAAATTACATTTGTATAGCGCCTTTTATGTTGGGAGGATGTCCCAAGGCGCTAGACAGTCAGGGATTTGGACCCGAGCTGGGGATCAGGATCGGGGAGGGTAGGAGGGTGGCCAAAGGCTTGGTCAAAGAGGATGGTTTTGAAATGCGTCTTGAAGGTAGTAAGGAAGGGAGCGAGGCAAAGGGAATGTGGGATGGAGTGCCATAGGGTGGAGGCAGAAAGACTGAAGGCCTGACCGCCAATGGTGGGTTGGGCCGGGCGGGGGACGTGGAGCAGGCCAGAGCCTGCTGAGCGGAGGGAGTAGACAGTTTGATATAGGGTCAGTAGGTCGCAGAGGCAGGGAGGAGCAAGGCCGTGGAGGGCCTTGAAGGCAAGGACAAGGATTTTCAACTCTAACTTCAGGGGGACAGGGAGCCAGTGGAGCTGGGTGAGGGTGGGCTTGATGGGGTCCCTGAACCTGGTACGGGAGAGGTTCTGGATGATCTGGAGCTTGTGCATTCTGAACTCTTTGTAAGAAGTTGAAAGCAGTTCTTAGAAATTTTCCACATTAAGACTGGCTTAAGAATTTTACAAACTTCTGCACAAATTGGATGCTGCATTTGGCTACAAGTAGTCACTCCACTTCACCGGAAAAGTGAAACTTTGACTTGCATTTATTTAGGGCCCTTCATTCGGGGTAGCATCTCAGTGCACAGAACATTGGCGGAACTTGAATCCGAGAGAGGGAATGGGGAGTCAAAGAGGAAAGTCTTTGGTGTGATCTGAAGATGGGCAAGGCGGAGGATATTTCCAACAGGAGTCACTGGATTGTGATCATTGTGATCACTAGAAGGAACGGGAGATTGTTTTTGATAGACTTTGCAGGCCTTGGACCACACTGGCCGAGTCAAGACAGAAGCAAGCTCAGTTGTGTTTCTCCCCACAATTAAGTAGCCTAAACAACTTGTGCTGGCAGTCTATGTGATTGTGGGGAGCATTACAACTGAGCTTACTTGTGTCTTGACCTACAGTCCATGTGCACTTTCCAACAGTAGTCACTGGATTACGATCGCTATAGGCCTGTATTCAGATCAGAATGTGGGCCTGTTTTTGCTCTGCCCCTTCCCCAGCCTGAAATTGTAATCAAAGCACTGCCCCCACCACCCCATTGTTGCCCTTGGGTGATTGAATCTGGAAGCTGTCCCAATTTCTGTTAGCTCAATTTGGCTGTACTTGTTTTAGCAACTCAGCCATTGAGGTTGATCAACCAGAGTTTTAATGTACAACACTGAAGCTGACTTTGCAAAACGTAGCAACCGTGGATCTCTGACACTAAAGGCTAATAATTCAACAGCTTTTAAATGTATGTGATTGCTGACACTACAGTATTTTATCATAAGGACATTTTATTTGGGGAAAAATTGCTATCTGACTATACAGGAAGTATAAATGAGAGCATTCTGCAATTTAAAGCCTCTTACTGCTTAGAACAGCTCAATTTGTAGGTTGGTTGAACTCAAACATTAATCAAGTAGAAGAGAAGCTAATTGAAATAAAATTATGGGAAAAGAGTCAAGTATAATTAATATGCATGGTGTTCCAAGGTGGAATGTAACACAACTGTCATGTTTACAACTTGTGGCTAGAAAGTGAGTCATGTTATTGGGGAATTTTGTTGGGTAGGAGTTGAATTAATGGAAGAGGGAATAATAATAATACTAATAATAATCCTTGCATATAATGTCATACTTTATTGTGTTGTCAAGACATCTTCAAGCACTTTACAGGAGCTTATTTTTACTCTGAAATATAGTGACTGTATTCATAGGCAAGTGCAGCATCCAATTTGCACATAGCAATGATTCACAAACAGCCGTGGAGTGAATGCCCAATTTTATTTGGAAGACTGTTGGTCAGAACAGTGGGGGGAAAGAAAAACTCCCTTCTTTTCTCAAATAGTGAAAGTGTAAATATGCAATGTTTTAAGATCCATTAAAGCAAAGAACCACTTTAAAAAAAATCTTTCCCAGTTTAAGTATAAATGTAATGTTTAACCACAGTGTTTGACAGCATAAACCTAGCTCCAGTGTTTTTTAGGGGGCATTTAAATAACGGGATGATTTCTTGTTGAAAGTCCTATCCCCATTATTATACTGCATGTTGGTTTTGTCACTCCATTTTAGGAAGCATATTTATTATTGCCCTTGATAGGGTCCAGGGCTAACCAGTGTAAGAAAATTTTTGGCATCAAGAATTTCAAATATGAGAAAAAATGAAGGAAATGTGTTCATTGTGAGGTGGTCTGATTTAAGTGTTCAAGATTATGCAGAAGCTTCAGGTAGCAGGTACCACAACCTATAATTTAGGAAAGAAAATTTAATGGAATATTTTGTTCCAAAACGTGTAATGGACTTGCAGCAATAATTTTGATCCAGACACGAGAAAGAATTTAAATGGACAATTTTGTTCTGTGGCGAGAATGGATTGAGAGAGATGGTGAGAAGAGTGATAGGTCAAAAAGGGATGGATTTGTTATGCCTATTGGCCTTTTTGTGATTCCTTGTGACCCTCACAATGACCTCTAAGTCACTTCATCCCCGGGCACTTTCCTACCTCTCCGACAAGCTCACACCTCCCTCTTCGCTTAACAAATTCCTGCCTTCTGCACATCCCTCAACCCCTCCACTCCATGCTTTCAGCCACTTCCTGCCTCAGTCCCTCCTCCACTGGCTCCCTATCACAAAGCAGATCAATTTCAAGATCATCATACTCACCTACAAATCACTTCATCGCCTGGATTCACTGACCTTCTCACACCCGAGTTTATCTGCCCACTTCATTCATCTAGCTTAGGACTGACTTCTGCATATCCCTCATCCCCTCCGCTCCACCATCGGTGGCAGTGGTTTCAGCCACTGCTTCTCAACCCTCTGGAACTCTCTACCTCAATCCCTCCACCTTACCTTCACTTTGCCTGTATTCACATTTCCTGAGGATTTTCCTCTTGGACCATACCTACGGTCACCTTCCCTTTCTCTTGTCTCAACATCAAGCTATACCATTGATAAGGTACGGATGAGGCAGACAGAGGAATTTCGGAAAAATTAGATGCAGGGGCAAAGTGGCTGAAAGCTTGCCCCCCAATGGAGAGCAGAGCAGATAGAAGTATGAGGCAGGCCAGTATTTGGCAGATAGGAAAGAGTGGCCTGGGGAGTATGGTTGGCGGAAATTGCTGAAGTAAGTTTGGGCAAGGCCATTGAGATGGTGGAAAGTAAAAATGAGGATCTTAATCATTCTGAACTGTGGTCTAACTAATGATTCATACCCATCTTAACAGTGCTTCAATAAAAGTATGTCTTTCCTCCAATAGAATTGCGTAACTTCTCATTACATTTGCACATAGAAGAGTTCCTATTCGCATACTGTAGAAACGAGTGTATTTTGTTTGTGACTGAACTGCCTTGTGTATTATTCAGGTCTGTGGAGCACTACTGCGGGGCTGTTGTCAGCATCTGGCACTTCTTCATCTATCCAAGAGTATTTTTTCTCATAGGTAAACTTGTTCTGTGCACAGTTATTCTTCTTTGATTCTGGACGTTCCTTTAGTGATTAACCCGGGTGATTTTAAGAGGCTGTTTTTTTACATTTTATTTGGTAGCGGGGGACTTTGAGTCAATCACTGTACTGAACAATTCACATGATCAAGGGCAACCACCATTATAACAGTGGTTTGGCTCCATAAATTCAGATACCAGATTGTAAGGAGATGCGTTTAACAACTACCCAATGATGGTCAGTGCTTCCTGTGTATCAGTTCACTGCTGACATCAGCTGTTGGGTGCTGTGTGCAGGAAGCGTTGCCGATATCACTACCTTTACAGGAAGTGACAAGGGGGCAACCTGACTACTCTGGAGATGCTGACTGGTAGCCAATTTCTAGTACAAGCCACCAACAATAGTGCACTACCCTTCTGGTATAGCACTCGTCCACAGTACACGAAAAGCAAACCTGCATTGAGTGCACAGTTATTTGCAGCACTTCATTCATGCCTTCTCTGGCAGATGAACTCTACTGCAATATTGGGCTCTGTTGCTTGTTTAGGGACAAAACACTAATAATTATGGGCAGTGTGCAGTCATGATTGATATGAGATCTGAACATGATTGAAGACAGTAATCTAGTTGTAGCTCATTAGCCCTGCACATTTAATCTGAAAAATATAATCAATGTATGCTCAATTTATTGATGTACTTAAAGATTTTAGTCTGATGTGAGTTGGTCTAAATAGATCAGCACCTTGGGACGAGGCGCTTTACAAATGTAATTTGTATTGTATTACATAAGCAGATTCATTCATGTGTTGGTAATCAGTGCTACATCGATCTTTTTGGCTGTCCTAAAAGAAAATACAGCCACCACACTTTGAGACTTGGTGGATAAGTAATCCTGAGGTGAGATCATGAGTAACATGAATTTCTTTTTTTTCTTTAATACCACAGGAAGGGGAAAGAAATTCCTCCATCCTTCAAAATGTTTTTCAGCAGTTCACTGGCTTTAAGACACATCAATGTGTCTGGCACCAAACTCCCTCCAGAGGCAATCAAGTTAGTATTTATTTCTTCTCGTTGACAAACAGGTCTTACATCAATACAGAGTCTCTGTCTTCTAAACGTGTACAGATCAGCTTATGTTTTCCTCACCCTCCTTCTCTTCTGGAATGCAGAGACAATAGAACAAGAGATCCCAGATTTAGAGTTACAGAGAGCAATTTCAGGACAAACATCAGGAAAACTGGGAGCACAGTAAGGGTATTTGGGAAGGATGAGATCAAATAGGCTAAAGGGCCTTCTTTATCTGAATCTCTCTTGCAAACTTATGACTCTTGTTTTATTTTCAATTGGAATATGATTCTATGAGCATCACTTACCCTCCAATATCTCACCCAAGAGATATCTTCCTTCAACAACCCATTCCCCTCTCTGTGTGGGGAACAACAGCAGCCGCCGCCCCCCCCCCCCACCCCGTCTCTACTCATTATCTCCATTTGACAACCTAGTCAACATTCTATCAGGAACTTGCCAAGCTGTGAATTTATTTCAGGGGGCAATAATTAATTGTGTCCCCCCACAGTGCATCAGGTCATCCCCCTTGACTTTCTGCCTCACAGTTAGGGTGTTCAATATTATGCTCAAAAGCAGGGAGACTATTTTACTGCTGAGTTAGTATTGGAATAATGCGCATGAATAAAGCATTCCAACATGACTAGGAGTTCTCTTTCCAATGAGTTGGTGCAGATTAGCTACGCTGCTTGCCTACATACATTCAGTTCATTTCACTTGACCGCTCCAATCGGCTAACTCGGGCTTGCTGTGCATCCATTGGCCTACCCATGCCTATTCTATGCCCCGACCTCTGGAACTCTCTCCCACTCTGTGTTTTCAAGACCCTCCTTAAAATCTACCACTTTGACCATGCCCATGGTAACCTTCTTCCCTCCTCTTCTCCCCCCCCACCACAACCATGGGCTTGGCATCCATAAAGTTGTAAAGTGCTCCAAGGCATATTTCTGTGTGTGAAGCACCATATAAATGCAAGTTGTTATTGTTAATTTCTAATGGATCTCAATTCTGTGTAGCGATTTGAGATGTTCTTGCACTTGAAAGGCTTATAAAATGTAAGCTGTTTGTTTGAAGAATAATTCTCTCCTTGCAGAGCACTTTTACTTGGCCTTGCTTGTAACCCTCAATTGAAGGATGTTTCTCTAGACCTCAGCAACTGCGAGGTAAGAAAGAAACTTTACTTTTTGAATGAATTCAACTCAAAAAGCAGTGAAGAAAATGACTCCAAAAAGTTAATGGTCCAGTTTAAGGGAACAGAGACTTGTATTATTTCTGAAGTGGTTGATTAGCAAACATTAGCTCACTTGCACGTGAAGCATTTTATTTTTAAATTGCCTTCTATTTCTCAGTCAGCCGGCTCGAGGGGTAAAAAATCCCAAGAAGAGCAAAGAAAGAGCTTAGGTGAATTTTTTTCACTCAAGAGTTATTGGGATGTGGAAGTAATGTGAAGAATGAAGAATAGATGCTTCAAGGGCTGTGGAGTTAGGGCAGGGCAGAAAGATTGAGTGGATACCTTGCTCTGAGAGCCGGTGCAGGCACAATGACCATCTATGGTGTAAGATTCTATGATTCTAGCAGCTGCTAACAACCTGCGTTCTTGCAGTAGTTTCGTGGTGAGACTGCACTGGTTCACATGGTGATTCGGCAGCAAACAACATCAAGAGATGTTGGGTAACCTTTAGCTAGTTCTTCAACTGAAGTTATTGGATGGGGTTAACCATAGACCTCAATAACCTTCTAAATGTGTAAGTGTGACCAATGTACTTTTGATATCCAGGAGTATGAGAGTCTGTTATTGAATGAATGCCTTTCATGATATCTTAATCAAGACATTCAGTGCTGATTGTAGATATATTTATGAACAAAATGAATGTTTTTTTCAACAAAGTCCCTTTGTTTTTGTATGTTAGTGAGTCTGTACTTGCCTTATATTTGTGTAGCCCTAATCTTTTGCCAAGCAGGCATTTACCCAGACTCGTTTCATGATTTGCTTTGTCATTCTCTTAACAACTTTCAAGTGCTGGTGTGATACAGACTGACTGCTGAACTCTGTATGGGCTCACTGTGCTTGTAATGCTATTGCCTCCTCCAGCTCTGCACTGATGTATGCCATTCTTTTCCTCCCTTCTGCTTTCCTTAGCTTGGTCACTGTGTAAGTACCCTCCCTGCCTTACCTTTAACCTTTTTGATCCAGAAAATGGCTTCCTGCCTGCCTACCAATATTATCTTGAGAAACATGTGGTACGGCTATTTCATACAGTATGATAAAATTGCAGACATGCGTTTAATTGTGTTTTGTATGTTGTAGTTTCTCTGTGTCACTTGAAAGAAGATTTAAGAATCGGGTGTAATCGTTAATCTTTTCCCTTGATGTGAAACTTTCTGTAATATGTGTAATTTTGTTGAAGTACATGTTTTAATATAATGTTCTTGGGTATCAAAACTTTGTATTGAGAATTTGATGAAGAACATCATTGGAAATTATTCCAACATGTAAGTTATTTTAATTGTCCAAAGCAATTCTTGGAACTGCTCATTTTGACTAATGAGTATCGTTTACTAGCTTCCAAATAGATATCCCTGCTTATTAGTACTGTCATGTGAAATTAAGAAAATGTACATGTCTTTATTTAGAACAAGCTAAAAAAAAAGTTTTCAAATTTATTTTTAAGATTTCTTTTTAGTATTTCACATCTTTGCGTAATACTTTTTTTTTGCAATTTAAGTTCCCCTGTGTTTGTTTAATGAATTGCAGATAAAGGGGTCTCTTGTCAATAGGAATTGATCATTTGTAGGAAGTCAGTAAGAAACAAAGTTATGTTAAAGAACATAATCAAATCCTCCATTACTTGCATACTTCCTGCAATTCACCAACAAAATATACAGTCAATTCACTTTACAGTATATTCTGTGAAGCGCATTAAGACGTCTCGAAGAAGTGATAAGATTCCACATCAAATGCAAGGATTATTACTATTATTACTTCCTGTTCAACTAGGTTCCAGGCATATACTTTAGACAGGTTTGTAAGTTTTTTCTTGAAAAAACAGTTTTAGCATTTAGTATATCTGAAGTCTTGTTGAGAGCTGGTAATCAATCGGTGGTGATGAGAATTCTGAATCTTCACGATTGAAAATCATCTGTCCTTTATGGCAGTAACTTGTATCGTTATATAGTTTTGAGGGGTTGGGTGGGGGTGAGTGAAACCATCTGAAACATTTATTTGTGAGAAAGAAATTAACATTTGCGAGTAACATCATTAATGTAAGAGTGCATTCACTTTGCCCACTGTTTAGTGTTGATTGGTTGTTAGTAAAACTCTATTCAAATACTGTATATTAAAGCACTCTTCTCCACTCCTCTCCCCCATGTCCATTGCAGCTTCCTGCGTTCATCTTGTTTTATTTCTTAGTTTTTTTTAAAGAGTTTAACGCCATGCACATCTGAGTGCAGATACTTACTTTACATAGTGATGATCGTCTACTATTTTTCACTGCATCCTTTGTACAGTGTTTCCACTATATGCATCTCTATGAATATGTATGCTTTCCTGGGCCTCTCTGCCTTACTAAGCGTCTCAACTTAATTGCTTTTATGAAATCACAGTAGCCTTGAACATCGTTATCTACAGGCCAAACAAAAACATTTCGAAACATTATCTCCTGACATTCAGCCAAATTAGCTGAATTGCATCTCGGAATTGTAGTAACAGTCCACAAATATCCACTTCATTTAGGGAAAATTAAGGAATGTGCTGGAAAAACGTCAGCAAGGTGGAAAAAAGGAACTTTATAAGAATTTTATACATTTCATAAACAATTTTATAATAATTATCCATTAATGTTGGGGAGAGACCAATCAAAATGTCTAGGTAATGAAAGGATTTTAAAATAAAGCTAACCACGTGGTTTTCTTTGCAGCTAAGGTCTGGTGGGGCTCAGATTTTGGAAGGCTGTATTGCTGAAGTCCATAATATTTCAGAACTGGATATTTCAGACAATGGTGAGAAGAGATTGCTTGTCTCTTATGTTCAGTCCACTTATTGGACATTTAAGATGTGGCAAGCTTCCTGTTGCTTGTCCAGCTAGGACCACCCTACTCATTAAGGCTTTGGCTATCAGAGTTAACAGGAGCTGGATGAGAGTCTGTTCAGTTCCAAGGAGACCCCACTCACCTCCTCCCTCCTCCCCCCCAGGATAATCACTAGTTGGTGATTTGACACCTGGGGCACTTATTCAATGAACTATTGGAGGAAATCCAGCTTTTGTTTAGTTCACAAATAGGAAACAACATGACAAGAACCATAAAGTTTCTCTCTAAATGATTTGCTAGTGAATCTGTCAATGTCTAGCACCTCCATAAGAATGGCTTATTATTAGAGCTTTGGCTTAACTAATTTTGGTGCTGATAGGATCCAAACTTTATACAATGTGTGACTGCGCCACGATTTCACAGCCCAGACAGCCATACTTTTGGGACAGTAATATTTGGGGTATTTTTATGTAGTAATTTATACTAGTGATTTATTATTTTTATTATTTAGAAACCCTAAATTGGGCCTATTATGCACCATGTGCATATGTACAGAGGAATTACAGATGCCTTTAATTATGTAATTAATGAAAAGGTTTGGTTGATTACACAATTATTAAATCCCTTTCACTGGATGAGTACCTAATCAAAGGCAACTGTAATTATCTCTGTATACATGGATCCACACTTGCGAATCCTAGACATCGGGTCTTATTTTCTGGTTTAAAACAAATCCACTTTCATCCATGTTGTGGCGAGTGATAATTTTACAGGACCCTACTGGAATCTGCTCTGCACAGCTGGAATGCCAGTAGGGTTCTTTCAGGTGCAGTAATGTTGCTGTACTTTGATTGTTCCTAGTAAGTGGCTTATTTGTGTGATTTTTAACCCTTTTATACAGGTTTAGACTCCGATCTTGCTACACTTATGGTATGGCTTGGCAAGAACAGATCAATTCGACATCTGGCTTTAGGCAAAAACTTCAACAACATTAAGTCCAAGTAAGTGATTCTGGTGGCCAGAGAAACGGAAAGGCTTATAAGTATCCATTTTGTTACATTCAGACTTATTTTTGGGGTCAGCCGAGTGAGTATCTTGACAAATGCGCAAATACATCACCATGCTTAAGAGTATCCAAACCAAACTAGGAATTCCAAACAAATGCAAATATAAATGTATGATGGCAGCTGCATTCAGCTGCAGTTAAATTGCACGTACCTTTGGTAATCTATCAGCAGATATTTAATTTTCCATTACAAAATGGATGTATTCAAGCCAGCTTTGACGTATGTTCACAAAATTGATCATTTATAGTTGCAAGGAATTTTTCAATTGTCCTTTCACATTTGAAACAAAAAGAGCAGTAGCACTGCAGAAAGATTCCTGGTAGGTTACACTATTTTGCATCCAGGGCTCGTTCGGTGCGAGTCGCACAAATCACAGGTCACTGGGGTCATATCTTGCAGAAATCAGTGAGCTACATCAATCAGATTTGTAACTGATATGTTATTTGTGTGAAAAGCAACAAGAAACCCAGACTGAAAGATGCTGTAAGAGGTCTTTTTTTAACGTGATATGAGACCGTGTGTCACTAAGACTGCCTGAAAAGGCAAGCAAGCTGTGAAAATTGTCAGAAAACAGCTCCCCACCACCACACACCAAAAACAGTTGGACTGTATGCTACGCTGCTTTAAAATTAATTTTTTTCCCCAGATGACCATCTTTGGCCTTTCTGACCTTTGGCCATTAATTGATCACATCCACTAAGCTGCTTCCACTTCCTCTACTATACCACCACTCCTCCTCCCGACACCCACATTGCACACCTCTCTGTCCCTGTCTCCCACTCATCCCTTTCCTCACTTACCTCTCACATGAAACCCACCACCTGCTCCCTTGACTGCATTCCCACACAGCTCTTGCTGCTCTGCCCCCACCTGCATTAGATGACATTATCAACCTCTCCATTTTCTCTGGCACAAATCCTCTTCCCTTTTCAAAACTACTGTCATTACCAACTTCTCAAAAGAAAGCCACATCCCACTCAACGCCCTTCACATTCTCCAGCTATTGCACCATTTCCAATCTGCTCTGCATGGCCAAGGTGCTGAAACACTTTTGTCAACTCTCAGTTTCGCTCCTTCCTCTGCCGGCACTTCCTGTATGAGTCCCTCAAACATGGCTTCCATTCCACCCACGTTACTGAGACAGGCCTGGTCAAAGTTACACCCTTATGTGCCTGGTTTTCCTGGTTTCACTTCTATCTGTACCGGTATCATCATCATGTCTCCTCTAATGGATTTTTCCCTTCTTTCTCATAGCCGTGTACAGAGTACCTCAAGGTTCTTATGCTCAGTCCTCTCCTGTTCATGGTCTACATGCTTCCTCTATGACATGAGCTGCACCCATGGGATCCATATCCACATGTACCCAGGTGCCACCTAAATCGGTATCCTTCTGTCTCCACCCAGACTCTAGGACTAATTCTGTTCTGATAGATGATCTTATTCATGCTGATAGATCAGAATACTGCACTTAGTTGGATATTTGCCCAGTAGTTCCAATTTGTGGCTCTTATTTTAATATTTTCCAGCCCTACATTATAAAAATGAAATCAAAGCTCTGAATTCATCAAAATTGTAGAGCACTGAAAAGAAGTGCCCTTTCAGTCACGCCTCCGTGGTTTTAGCTGGAGGGAATGAGAGTTTCTATGTTGCCGGCCACACGTGTGAAAAGAATCCAGTTACAAACTGTTGCAGCAATTGAAATGAATAAAGTGAGCGGAAATAGATGCTTTAAGTACAATAATACATCTGCCACACCATCTGAGTCTAGGAAGAAGCTACTGCTGAGGTTTGTGAAATAACACGCTGAGTGTTTTAACCAAAAGCTTTAAGTGAAACAAATTTTGAAAAGTGACAGAAACATGAATGCTTCAAGGCTGGAATTTGACGGTTGGAGGTTGTTTGCAGTAGGAAGTGCTTGCGGCTAATAAGAGTGACAGACAATATTGTGAGCTGACAGGTCCTAAAGGTTTAACAATGTCTTATTACATTTGGTTTGCCAATTTTCACCGGTCATCTTCATCCATGTCTTTACTGAGGTTCACAGGCATCGCACACAGAGCAAACCTCTGCTACCCTGCCAGTGTGTGGTGTTTAATGAGAGAAAATAGCTTTCAACAATCTATTCAACGAAAGGGACATCACAGAGGAGCCTAATCCTGTTTACAACTCAATGATCATTGCACGTCCATAGCTATTGAGAGCAGGACACCTGGGTGATATTTGTGAGGAAATCTTAGAAGTCCCTAAGGAACTTTGTAGAAACCTCCCTATCACCGCTCCAATTAAGATTAGTTCACAACACAGACCAGGCAGGGATCAAATCTTTAATCTTCTGGTCTGTAGGACTTAGTGCTGTAGTACTAGGTAGTATTTCACTAGGCCATTGAGATTTTGCTTGGGTCAATTTTCTGTACCAGTTTTCTCCCCTTTCCTGCCTGCATTTCACTCTGTTCGGCTTGGGCACTGTTCCATGGATACTGGTGCCACGCCTAGGTTACCATTATTTTTGTATGTGTCATACGTTACCCAGGGTCAAAGCAGGCTGTTGGACCACGGGGGTAATGGAGAGAGAGAAATCACAGCCAAGCCTAGCCCTGCATATTACCTACACTTTTATATATCCAGGAGGGGAGGTGGGCGGGCACATGGTTCCCTGGACAAAATACCTGTCCCTTGCTCAGAATTCTGAATCCACTCTTGATGCCTAATAATAATCCCTCCAAAAAAACAAAACAATAATAAATTGGTCATTTTCAATCCATGCCTGTTTGTGGGATACTGCTGTGCGCAATTGGCTGCCGCGTTCGCCCACAAATATACAGTCAATTCACTTTACAGTATATTCTGTGAAGCGCTTTGGGACGTCTAGAAGACGTGAAAAGCGCTATATCAAATGCAAGGATTATTTTATTATATTTCCAATACATATTTAGAATGAAGCCCGGCTCTGATAACGTTGCTCAGCAATGATAAAGAATCATCGTTTGGGCCTTACTGGTTTAGCTACTGACTCAATAAACGGATCCACCCCTCAAGGGTCCCAGCATGGATAATTTGAGATTTTAGCCAATTTTAAGAAAATCTTATGGGCACTGATTTTCAAAATGTTATACTGTTGATAGAAGCGAATTAATGTTTCAAAACAGTCACAGTTCCAAGCCCTGCTATAGTTACAAGACAATGTCATCCTGTTGAGGTTTTGATATGAGGAAGGCTTTGCACAATTTAAGAATGGAACTTGTCAGTTATCAACACTGGTGTCTAATTTACAGCTTGTGTTAACCATGTGTTAACAACGGAATTATAAGTGCCCCTTTCATTGGTTGTTACTGAGCAATTTACATTGATAAAGCAGCTTTCAGTGCCTCGGAGCACTTCACGGAAATAGACTAATTGGAGATCAGATAAAATACAGGACCTAAATTAATGAGGCAATCAAATACTTAAAAGGTCCTTACATTAGACTAATAAATAATTAAGGTCACCTATAATTTCCTCTCTGCACATGATTCACACATGTTTTACACAACTCACATAATCTAGCCCCACTGTCAATCTAGCATCGATATTACAACACATGGATGGAGATACTGAGGCGTTAATTTCACTGCTGTGAAGCTCTACCACATTACCCGCCTCCGTCCGTACCCCACAACCGATGCAGCTGAAACCCTCATCCACGCCTTTGTCACTTCCCAGCTGGACTATTCCAATGCCCTCCTCGCTGGTCTCTCCAGCTCCACCATACACAAGATTCAATTAATTCAAACCTCCGCCACCCAGATACTCACCCACACGAATCTCTGTACTCCCATAACACCAGTCCTTTGCCAGGCTCCACTGGCTCCCAATCACCAAACAGATCGACTTCAAGATACTCTCAATACTTTTTCAAATCACTTCATTCCATCGCACCTCCCTACCTCTCTGACCTGCTTACACCCCATTCCAGCACCCTCTGCCTCCGCTCGGCTGGCTCCAGCCTCCTATTTGTCCCTCGTGCCCTCTGTTCCACCATTGGTGGCCGTGCCTTCAGTCACTACTCCCGGAACCTGTGGAACGCTCTCCCTCAGTCCTTCTGCCTTGCCCCCTCCCTCCCCACCTTCAAATCCCGTCTAAAGACTTTCCTTTTTGATCGTGCTTACGGTCATCTTTTCCCCCTGCCTCTCCCCTTGGCTCATTGTCACCTCCAGCACTGTGAAGCGCTCCGGGACGCTACCTCGCATGAAGGGTGCTATACAAATGCAAATTGTTGTTGTTGTTTGGGGACTGAAAGTAAGATGAGCTGAGCATAAAGCTGGTTTACACTTACCCAGTTTTATGTTGCATTGTGGTACAAACATCATGGTTGCTTTGCACCTATCTCCTATTCCTGTAATGTTTGCCTGTTGAGACACAGTTGGTGATTGTAGAATATTATTGTAGTGTAGAACTACTGATACATTCGTCATTAAACCTGCTGTGACTAACGAATGGTAAATCATGTTTAACAGGAACCTTATACCGGTCCTTGATAACCTTGTACAGATGATTCAGGATGAAGAATCAGTAAGTGCTACTTTCTTAATTTATGCATTTAACTTAATAGAAGTTTCTTTAAAAATATGTATTTTACGAAAATTGCATCATTTTTAAAAGTAATGTCACTTTTTGCGCAGTTTACCTAATAGCTTTGGTTCAAGTCATAAGGACATTAAAGTGAATCTTCTAATGTACTCGCACCTATCCAGTGCTTGTTGGATTTTGTAGAAAGCAGTGTAAGCCTGAACTGGAGTCCGAAAGGGGATTTGCTTTAAATATTGCTTCCAAAGATAATGTCTTCAAATGATCAGAATTTGGTGGGCCTCCTTCCCCACTTCCTTGCCACCTCCCCCTCAAAAGCCCTATTAATTTGTTAAGAGTGATTTACCTTTTTTTACCAGTAAGCCATACAGGTTTGAATAAACAGACATCTGGCCTATGTGTTGTATACCAAAAATCACTATCAGTTTGTATTTGTGATTGACTATTCTAGCAAGCACACGATCTTGCCCAGGTTCTTACAAAATAGAATCAAGCAAAGAGCAAGGCACTTGACCATGGCAGGAGGTACTTGCGACAATTAGTTAACCCTGACTAAAATTACATTAACCACTCTTTCCCCTCCTCCCCATTACCAGCGGGCTTCAAGCAGAACCCACAAAGCCATGAGAACAGATTGCTTCCCCACTTCCTTTTGGGAATTGGAGCGCAGGGAGGAATTAAAAATAAACCACATTGGAATGTGACAGAAGAAATTATTTCACAATACAAGCTGCTATCCATTCACTCCTGTCTTTTGCAGTTGCTGTTTATTTTTACATATTGCGGACGATTAATAATTTTTGCGTGCCTGGCATTGAAAAAGATAGCTGAGTAGGAAGTAAATGGATTCCTGCCTCCTCAGTCGTATTAATGCTGGGCACCAACCCTTTGAAATTACAGGAATTGTTTTTTCAGTAGTGAAACTATGTATAATATTGCTCAGATTGGCATAAAGTGATGTGATCCAGCAGAATTCCTTTTTATGAATAAGAGATTGTTATTAATTTCCTACTGAAACAACTTGATACTAAGTTTATTATATTATCTTTTTATTCTTTGCAGCCACTAGAATCGCTATCTGTAGCAGATTCCAAGCTTAAGGCTGACTTGACGATAATCATTAACGCTTTAGGCAGCAATTCGTCCTTGACTAAAGTGGACATCAGTGGGAATGGAATGGGAGACATTGGTGCCAAGATGCTAGCAAAAGCTCTGCAAATCAACACCAAGCTCAGGTAAGATTGTATTTCTGCTAACATAACTTATAATGGCTGATGTATAGTGGTTTAACAAATACAATACAACATTGCATTTATAAAGCATCTTTCATGTCAGGAGGTCGTCCCAGAGATGCTGAAAGTCAGGGATTAAGACCTGAGCTGGTGGGGGAGGTGGTTGGGATCAGGGAGGGTGGAGTGTAGAGAGGGTAGAAGGGTGGCTGAACGGACATTGAATATCAGGAGGGTTTTGAGGCGTGCCTTGAAGGAGGCAAGGGAGGAAGCGAGGCAAAGGGAATGTGGGATGGAGTTCCAGAGGGTGGGGGCAGTGAGGCTGAGTGCCCGACCACCGACGGTGAGGCTGGCCGGGTGGAGGACATGGAGCAGGCTGGAGCCTGCTGAGCGGAGAGCGCAGACAGGTTAATAAGGGGTTAGCAGGTCGGAGAGGTAGGAGGGGGCTATGGAGGGCCTTGAAGGTGAGGACGAGAATTTTGAATTTGATCCTCTGATGGATGGGGAGCCAGCGGAGCCGGGTGAGGGTGGGTGTGATGGGGCTACTTAAGGGTGCTTTTTGGCTTGTCTTGTCGGTCGAATTAATGAATACATGCAGCATGCACAATCAATCCAGTGTGATATCGATGATCTCTCAGTCCAGCTGCTGCCAAAGCTCACATTATTCACCTGCTGGATGACTGATGGGGAAGTCTATAACTCAGTGATGTAGTCCCTTGTGCTAGGGAAATTCCTCTGAATATGTTCTTGGCTTTTGATTAAGGAAATTACCTAAGTAGAAAAAACTGAAGTCTTGTATAATTGGTAGTACGTTCTCAGTTTGGTTCCTGGCTCGAAGTTGAACTTGCCTCATACATTATGTAATTTTGTTATTGCTCCTTCCAGCAACCTGTTTCTGTTTTACTTGCTATTTGGCCATTTAAAGGCACGCTATTTGAATGCCAAAGAATTCTTCTGGTTTAATTTTCTTTCATAGATTTCCTCCTGTTTAAATTTCAGTAATGGATAATTAAGAGATTAGAATTACAGATGTATGCAAATGGAATATTTATTAAGTATTAGATTAGTAATATTTCGTAATAGTAATATTTTTATTAGGAAAAAANTTTGTTCACTCAATCCACAACTGTTTGTGAGATACTTCTGTGCGCAATTGACTGCCGTGTTTCGCCCACAAATATACAGTCAATTCACTTTACAGTATATTCTGTGAAATGCTTTGAGACATCTAGAAGATGTGAAAAGCGCTATATCAAATACAAGGATTATTCTTAGTAGTAGTAGTATATGCTAAATGGTGGCCAGTGTTTGTTTATTTTGAAATAAAAAGAAGTTGCTGGGAATACCAGTCAGTCAGGCAGCATCTATGGAGAGCGGAAAGTCAATTAACGTTTCAGGTCAATGCCCTTTTGTCAGAACCTCTGTTCTGATGAAAGGTCATCGACCTGAAACTCACTTTCCTCTCTCCGTAGATGCTGCCTGATCTACTGAGTGTACCCAGAAACATGTGCTTTTAGTTCAGATTTCTGGCATCCGCAGTATTTTGTCTTTTGTTTATTTAGATTTTAGTGCTGAGATCATGCCACACTCGGCCTTTTTTGGTTTTGTTTAGGTAACATTGCAATTCCAAAATTAAAAGCATCGCCGCTCCGTGCTAAAACCACGAGTGTGTTGCCTTCCCCTCTGAATACCTTCCATATGTATGCGGATGACACCCAACTCTATCTTTCTGCCTCCACCCTCAACTCCAGGACCACTGCTGTCCTGACAGACTGTCTGTCGGACATCAAGTCCTGGATGAGGGGAAATTTCCTACAGTTGAATGTGAACAAGACTAAGACCCTCCTCATTGGCTCGAGCCAGTGCCTCAGCACCTCAGGCTCTGGCAGCATCAGCCTCCATGATTGCACACTTCAACTCAAGCCAGTCAGGAACCTCGGTGTCTTGTTCGACCCTCAACTGTCTTTTCTTCCCCACATCCAAGCCATGACCCGCTCTGCCTTCCGTCACCTCCGTAACATTGCCCGACTCCGCCACTACCTCACTCCTCAGGCCTCTGAAATTCTTGTTCATGCCTTCATCACCTCCAGGCTCGACTATGCAAATGCCCTGCTTGTCAGCCTTCCCAACTCCTCCCTCTACAGGCTGCAGATAATCCAGAACTCTGCAGCCCGTGTCCTCTCCCGCACCAAACTCCGTGACCCCATCTCCCCCATTCTCGCCCGACTCCATTGGCTCCCTATCCTTCAGAGGATCCAGTTCAAGATACTGGTCCTCACATACAAAGCCCTCTATGGCCTCGCTCCACACTGCCTCTGTGACCTCCTAACCCCCTACCAACCCGCCTGCTCTCTCTGCTCAGCCGGTTCTGGCCTGCTCCACGTCCCCCGACCCACCCGCCCCACCATTGGGGGAAGAGCCTTCAGCCACTCTGGCCCCAACCTCTGGAATTCCATCCCCGAATCACTCAGCCGCGCTGCCTCCTTAGCCCCCTTCAAGTCCCGCCTCGAGACCCTCCTCTTCGACCATGCTATCGGCCACCTCCCCTTCCTTCTCCCCCGCTGACCCCAGCTCGGGTCTGAAATGGACGTCCTCCCGACATGAAAGGCGCAAAACAAATGTAATCTTGTTGTTGTTGTTGCTCTCCTGCCTCTATCCATGATAATAATCCTTGCATTTGGTACAGGGCATAATTGCATTGTCAAGACATCTCAAAGCGCTGCACAGGATATACTGTAAACTGGATTGATGCGTATTTTGTGAAGTGTAATGACTATTTTATAGGTGAAATGCGCAGCTAATTTTGCGCACAGCAGTGTCCCACAAGCAGCCATCAAGTGGATGGTCAATTTATTTGGGGAGTAGTTGGCCAGGACACTGGGAGAAACTCCTTTTTTTCCAATTAGTGACATGGAATGCTTAATAACCACCAGAGCAGCCAGCTGGGACCTCAGTTTAACGTCACCCTGAAGGACAGAACCTCCCAACAATTCAGACCGCCCCCCCTCCCCCCCCCAGTGTATTGGAGTGTCAGCTTGGACTCAGATTTGCACTATAACAAGTTATATTATAACAAGGTCAGATTGTATTTATTAGAAATATTCGAGGCCAGTGCTGTGGATTGTGTGGTGGCAGTGATTTGCACACAGATGAATCAGTGAGCAGGTAGATGTCTCCAGGCCTCAAGTACAGAGGTTGGCATCAATTTCCTCTCACAATGTTATACAAGAGAGAGGTACTTATTTGCCTAACCCTTCAAGGCAAAGAACTTCCCTTAGCAGTCGTATTGTCCTTTAGCTTGTACATTTTGCAAGTTGAAGAGCCAATGCATTATAAACTATAAATGTATTTTTATGAACCAAAATCACACTACCTCTACATTTTTTTCCCCTCTAATAACCCCCCAACTTGCTGGACTCCCAAGTATTCAGAATTGGAATCCAGTCGGACCGAGTCTGAAACCTAAAAATTAAAAACAAAAACATTCCATGGACCAAATATTTCCGCAGAGCATGTATAGACTTCCGACAGCTCAACTCCTAGCATACAGCAATGCCGCGCTGAGCAGCCTCACTGTTCTCGCTGGCCTTCACAGCAGCCAAGGATATCAACTTTGACTCAGTTTGAACGCCACGAGCAGAAGAGGGCTTATTCACTATCACAGAATTCAAACAATTACAATGCCAATACCGGCATTTACTGGCATTTTTGAATTTTGTTTTTACCAGTTTCAGTGTATCCATGGCCTTGCCCTTTCCTGCCTCAGTGACCTGCAACCCCTTATCAACCTGTCCGCTCTCTCCGCTCATTGGGCTCCGGCCTGCTCCATTTCGCCCACCTGGCCATCCCCCCCATCGGCAGTCGAGCCTCCGTCCCCATCCTTTAGAACTCCATCCCACATTCCTTTTGCCTCGCTCCCTCCCTTGCCTCCTTCAAGGCACGTCTCAAGACCTTCCTCTTCGGGCACCCTCCCTGCCTCCACACTCCCTTACCCCAATCACCCGCCCTGCTTGGGTCCAAATCCCTGACTGTCCAGTGCCTTGGGACGTCCTCCCGACGTGAAAGGCACTATAATAATGTAATTTTGTATTGTATTTCAGTTCACTGGTGTGAGCTTAGTTCACCCAGTTCACTGTGTGAGCTGGGACAATGAGTGGGGAGAGAATACCATAACTGAGTTTAATATGACATCCACTGATGCACTTTCCAGTGTAGGTCTCTGGATAGGTGTGAATAGTTGGCCTGTTTCTTTTCCTTCCCTTTTCCCCCTACCCCACACTTCCTTTCCCACCCCACTGGGAACTGTGGCTAATTATCTTGCACCCACTGTTTCACTTACTAACCAGTTTCTACCTGTATGGTTTAAATGCATGATGGCAACAGCCAAAGAAAATCAGCGCTTTCGGTGCTCAATACATGAGCTTCAAAGCTGTAATGGCGATCTGGTGCCGTCAAAAATGACGGTGAAAGTGTCCCCTGTCAAATGGTCAATTTTTATTAGATTTTTATTAGATTGTAGTAAAATCTTTCAGAGTTCCAAGATTATAATAATAATAATAATAATAATAATCCTTGCATTTGATATTGCGCTTTTCACGTCGGGAGGACGTCCCAAAGCGCTTCACAGAACACACTGTAAAGTGAATTGACTGTATATTTGTGGGCGAACGCGGCAGCCAATTGCGCACAGCAATGTCCCACAAACAAATGATTATTAGATTATTAGATTTACAGGTCTAGTTCTGAAACTAGTTTCTGTAACCACAGGTATATATCCAAAAGCCTCATTGAAATACTGGTGGGGTTGTGTTGAGATTGTCTCCATTTAAAAAAAGATTATTAAAGGAGGCAATTTATTGCACTTTCATTTCTCACTTGCTTTGCTCGGACCCACACTGGGACATATGACCTCCGTGTTAAGGGCAGATCTGAAAAGAGTATGATTATAATAATAATCTTTGCATTTGATATAGCACCTTATCATGTTGTTGAGACGTATTAAAGCGCTTCACAGAATACATTGTAAAGTGTGTATCTTAAAATTACTGTATTACTGTATCTTGTGGGCGAAATGCGGCAGCCAATTACGCACAGCAGCGTGCCACAAACAGTCATGGATTGAGTAACCGAATTGTTATTTTATTTATTTATTTTTTGGAATGGATTATTATCCCCGGTTAGCGATCCGCCAATCGACTTAACAGCTGGGTTCCTACTTAGTCCTAGGTAAACAGAGGCATGTGAAGTAAGGAAATTTGCCTAAGGTTTCTCTCGGCCCAGGAAATGATTATGGTGATAGTGGTACAAAGATATCTCTAAGGAGAATGCCAAGTGCATACCTGAATTTGTGGATCCCTGCTGAGTTATAGTGATTTCAAGCTTATTGTAAGCGTCATTTTCCAATGAGTACTGACAACATAATGCCTGCAAAGATCATATGGAGTATGTCCATCAAAATATGTATAGTCCTTCAGAGCATTTGGAAGCCACATTACTTTCCGGAGTTGTGTGGCTTTGTGTGAGCCTTTTGCGGCCAAAAGAAGCACTGATGGTTTTGACTCCTGATAAATGATTCAAAACATAACTGAGATTGGGAGATTTCTGGAAGTCTGTTCTAGAGACCGTCTTAGTTGTAGTCGGAAGCAATTAACTCGAATCATCTGAACTTTTTCACTGCGTAAACGTTTGTTGAAAGAAATACCTTCCCAGAAGGACCTGTCATCATTCTTTGCTTCTGAGTTCGAAATTTTGACCCACAGTGTGGAGTTATTAGGCCTGATCTTCCTGTCTTAAGATGTCCCTGTTGAATAATATTCAGACATCAGTCTTTTCTTTGTTAGGTTGTATTTTTAGCTTTTAAGTTCATTCCATTTTTAGCAAGGAAATCCATTTCTTGATCCAAAAATTTATTCATTTTTTCTTTTATGTATGCTACATAATCGTTATTTGAAACCCACTCGATCAACCATGTTAATTTCTGAACCATTCTCAAATCCAGCCAGGCCTCCATGACACAGTTTTTTGTCCCCTTTGAGTTGTTGTCTGCCCTGCTTGAGCCCTCCTTCCACCATCGAAGTGTGAAGTTGTGAATGTTTGAGACTTGTAGAGTAGTGGTTAGCGCACTCACCTCGCAAGCGAGAGGACCCCTGGTTCGATACTCGGGCAGAGCAAAACCGTAGGTAAATTTCCTTACTCCACACGCCTCTGTAATAAATAGGAACCTGGTTGTTAGTCAATTGGCAGATTGCTTTCCAGGCAAAACCGTAGGTAAATTTCCTTACTCCACACGCCTCTGTAATAAATAGGAACCTGGTTGTTAGTCAATTGGCAGATTGCTTTCCAGGGGTAGTTATGCTCCCCCTCCCCCACAAAAAAAAACAACCATTTGGTCACTCGATCCACGAGTGTTTGTGGGACACTGCTGTGCATAATTGGCTGCCGTGTTTTGCCCACAAACTATACGGTTAATCCACTTTATAATATATTCTGTGAAGCGCTTTGAGATGTCTGGACAACATAACAAGGCGCTTTATCAAATGCAAGAATTATTATTATGAGCTTCCCCAATCCTGCAGGACCTATGAAACCATGCTGACCAAGCATGGCTGGGATTTGTTGCATACCTATTGGCTGACTTCTCACAAAGATCACCAGAGAGCAAGGCTGTTATCTGTTGCTATATCACCAGAGTATGTACATTGCCTGTGGTTCACCTGGAATCGGAAATGCTTTGTGCTTCCTTACACCCTGTAATATATTTTCTCATTTAGTTATCCATCTCCCTTTTCAATGCTGTTGTAGACTTTGCTTCAACAGCGCTTTGTGGTATTGCATTCCACGTTTTATATAATATAATATGTCTATGAGTGCGTGTCTTTCTCTCTCTGTCTGTGAGTGTGTGTCTTTCTCTCTCTGTGTCTGTGTGTGTGTCTCTCTCTGTGTTTCTGTCTCTATGTCTGTGTGCAGTGCCGGGGCCCTAAGTGGCCGGAAGTGGTGACCTCCTGTAGCACCCGCCCCAGTCTTGTCGAGCAATGCTGTTTTCTGGAGGATCTCCAGGCCCTTTGGGCCTATGCTGGTGTTCCCCCATCCCCAAGTGGACTACTCAGTTTACTTTGTTAAAGAAAGCATTCATATTATTCTTTGCAACAATCTAATATGTGTTATTCATCTTTAATTTTTATCAGTAAAGTGAAAAAATGTAGGTTAGCAGTAAAATGTACCTCTCAGTAGCACCAATCAACCCCCCACAATTTTCCGTAAAATTTGTTAAATTTCCCCGCAATATTTGTGAAATATTTCTGCAATTTTCTATTGGCCTTGTTTATCACTCAACCGTAATGCGGTGTCCCATGCATCAGCTCCTATTCATGACAATTGTTTCAATTTAAATAACTAGTGCAATCAGGAACATAACCCCAGTTCTTTATCTGATAATTCTAGTGACTACTTTGTTGACCTGAACCACGTAGGAAGCCATTTAGACAATGTTGGCTTTAATTCTTATTTAAATTACAATCTATCAGTATGACAAAGCATTGCAAGCCTCAAATCTTTTCATTGGTTGTGTAATGCTTGGAAATGATTCCTGTACATAGTTTTACCATTTGGATATAGAAATATAGTCCTTTGTCATAACATGGTGTATTTATCCTTTTCCATATATTAGTGGAATCCTAAGACACTCAGGTTTCTTTTAATGGCTTTGTATAATCCTGTTGATTGGGCTGTCAGCTTGCCTTGTTGTGGGATGTCTTACAGTTACTATTTTAGATCAGAATATTAATAGCTGATTCCGATTTCCATGCTTGTTTTCCCCGGAGTTTCATTTTACATCGACAGGATTTTTAATTGTTTCATTCAAAAATGTGTAATGTGATTAATTTCTTTCAACAGGACTGTAATATGGGACAAGAATAACATAACTGCACAGGGATTCCAGGATATTGCTGTTGCTTTAGAAAAGTAAGTAACGCAATCAGATTCTCTCTATTTTTCCTCTTAACTGTAAATCATAAAGCTCTCCATATTTCCTTAAAATAGCTTCTTCAAATTATTCATAGTTGCAGTAGCAGATGGTGGTCATACAGCTGCTGGTGTTGATATGAGTTGCTGCTGGAAGCTGTGCTTTCATATACATTCATGACAGCTAATGCACTTTGCATAGCAAGGAGGGAATGTTAAAATTTATATAAGACACTGGTGAGATTGCAGGGGTAAAATGCATCCAGGGCTATCATCGCAACAAAATAGAGGGGAGTTTACAAGAAATGTTTTGTACTATGGGTTAAAGGGGGTTGAAGTTGAGTCCAGCTCAGAAAGACCGCTTATGAACATCATCATTCAGAAGTGAATTGCATAAATATTTGAAGAACTATGGGGGTGGGGGGGGGGGGGGGTTGGCGGGAGTGAGAACGGGATTAGCGTAGATGATTCCAGTAGTGTGTGCAAACACCAGCACATTCACACATGCCTATATATACTGTGTATATTCCATTACTCTGTGAACCACAAGGAAAATGACTGCTTCAAACCTCAGTTTTAACTCTTCATCTAAATTAAACCATGGAAAACAGTCTAGCCATTGAAATGCTGATGTGCTTTGTTTTTACTGCAAGCAAACAGTGGACAAGGGAAGTTGTTCGTGCCATTCATACGAGCACATCAGGGAGTTTTGATTGGGAACCAATCCAAATGTTTTGGAATGGTTGCAGATTAGTGAAATATTTGTCAAAGATCACACAAAGTACAGTTGGCTTTTATAAATAGCAAAAAACTATCATTCCTATTATAATTGGTCAAAACTGTTACACAGTCTTATAATATTTTGTTTTATGAATGATTTGGTCTCATTTTTAGTTATTTTTTAGTTGTGTGACAATCCTGTAGTTCAAGTTCAACAGCTTGTTGTGAACTTAGTGATGTTTTGTTTGCTGCATTCACGTGTTTATAGTCACTGTGCCAGGCCAGTGTCTACGTCACTTGGGTTGTTCTTAGTTGCTGGCCACTGGCAGATGTTGACTCTCAATTTTAAAATCAACTTTAAATGTCATAGTTTTTTCCCACTGAAATGTGAGTTGCCTCTTCCATTATTGCACTTTGTCAAGTTGCTCCAAAGTATTAACAATGACTGCTGTGCTCAACTACTTCACTGCTACACTTTTCTGACTGCAAAAATGTCCAAGTTTGATTCCATCAGACATAATGTCCCAGTGATTTATTGGTTTACACTTCCAGCATAAATGTAAAAACAAATGTACCAATTAAACAATATTTTGAGCTAGTTCAGTTGATCTGGGAGAAAGAATCTGGATCCTTGAGGATTGAAATTTATAACATAGAAGACCATGTGGCTCATTGTGTTCACAGAGTGCATCAGTTTATCAAGCCCTCAGTGTCTGTTCAGATCGTTGTGTCATCTTCATTGGTGCAGCCTATCTGCTCCCGCTGAGGGAGTCTCCTCAACCTCTGCTCTGATCCCACTCCGGGTTGTGACAGACAGTTAACATTAGGAAGTGGTTCCCATCTCGGTCATACAGGAGAAAACTTAGTGCCAAGGAATAACTACTGGATAACGTGTAGATCATGATAAGCTGTTTTATCTTGTACAGAACAGTAGAACTAGAGGACATGGCCTGCGATTGAAGGGGGGTAAATTCAAAACAAATCTGCGGAAACCCTATTTCAATGAGCGAGTAGTAATGTATGGAACAGGCTCCCGAGGGAGATGGTGAAAACAGAAAGTGTTGATTCTTTCAGAAGGAAATTGGATAGATTTCTGTTGGGAAATAATATCTCGCGATACAGTACGTATTTTGGGACATGCCACGTGCATGTGACTGCCAGGATGGTGAAAGGCGAACTGGATGGATCTTGGTCTTCTTTTGTCTAGCAATTCTTATATTATGTTCTTAATCTCTTGACTTTTCAGTGCTTATCTTTCAGCTTCACTTGTTTAAGTGGCTGTCATTGCATGCTCCTGATACGACAGGGGTCATTAGGACTTCGACTCCAACAGTACTGTAGTGCTTATCTGCTTATTAGATTTTTTCGGTCAGTAGCGTTGGAACTTATTGAGGATTTTGTAAAGTATATTTATTTATTGTGTTACAGAGCAGCCAGAGTTAGCAGAAATAACCAGGACAAATAATTTTATTTATGAGACATGATGTAGCAATTCTTGACAGAATAGATAAGCATCTCAATATTGTGTTGGAATGTTTTTTTNCTATCCATAGGTTTGTAATATGAAAATGAATACCACTGAGGGAATTGTTGATTTCTGTAATATTCATTCCAATAATCCATTACACAATACAAGTTGCAAGCTGCTGCTTTTAATTAAATTGGGATGCCTTTGAACAGTGTACAACTAATTTTAATAAATCACCAGTAATAGCTTCCACATCTTTTTTAATTTCTTCCTAGTTTTTGCTTTTGCATTTAGTGTCTTGATTTATTATAAAAATTGGAGTGCATTAAGAGTTCCCTTAGGTCTACAAAAATAGCTGCTAACAGGTGACTTGCCAAAAGATAAAATTGGTCATTAACGTCATGGTTAATTGTGGGATATTATGCGCAAGTTAGCTGCTGCTTTTGCCTTCAATACACAGTCACTACACTTTACAGTAGAATCCTGTAAAGCACTTTTTGAGACATTTCAGCTGTAGTAAAGCACTATATCAAATGCATTCTTATTGTGTAAATAGTAACCACTTGAGCAATGTAGAGGGCAGGAGCTCACTGTGAGGGTCGACTGGTATCATTGGAACCACAGTAGAAGAAAAACAAGTAGTCAAGAGAAGGGTTGAAAATTGGCAGAGAAATAATCCCTCATTAAAATTGTTCTAAACATCCACAAAAACTAAAGTAAGAAAATATAAACATGGATCTGTACCAAGCTGCAAAACAAGCATTGTGTGAGCCCATCTTTATGTGTGATGCTGCACTCAGCTTTTTCTTCCAGTCGGGTTGGTGAATTTGAATGAATTAAGTTTCCTGTGCCGATGTTTAAAATGCTTTTCAACCAAGCAATAGTAGAAAAGGGACTGATTTCAGTTTAATCATATTTTTAATCCATTATTCCTGGCTGCCAGAGGACAGTCACTGAATCACAAAGCAGTTTCCAACCTGCCATCTGAATACTGGGAAATCGTAATGCTAAAGGCACTCTGATATTCATATGTGAAAACTGCATTTTTGATGCAGCTGCATTTTGCAATGCAATACTTCTGTAGTTTCTTAAATATTAAATCTCTTCTTGAATTTTTTTGAGCCGTTCAAATGCATCTTTTCTGTACCTCCAAGTATCATGATATTCAATAAGCGGAAGAAAGCCATACACCAGGTGATGAGCTACTCAGAAATATACCCATTTGAAGCTCATGAAGTGCGTGTTTATAGGAAGTTTTATAGTAATTAAGTAGTCATCTCTGAAATAGAGTTCATAAATTATTTTAAAAAGGAAATTGATGTTTCCTTGTAGAGGAGGATATTAAAAAATATGGGGAAATGTGCAGAAGAGTGAGATGGCTAACGTATGACCTGTTTCTGTGCTGTAACATTCTATAATTCCATAATATAAATTGTGTATAAACCTGACCTAATGGTATCTAACTAGTTATTAGTGATTTACATTCTGTCCCCTTTTGTAAATGCAGATAGCAGTGCTGTTTACATCTGGGAATTAAAGTGATGACATAAAAAGGGGTCCTTTATTCACATTTTGCATGGAAATTAGCTGGGATATTGACAGCATGATTCTATAAGGCAGAGTTTTATTTTCAGGAGTTCACTGTATATACCACCTAAGTGATATATAGGTGATATAGTACCCAGTATGTCAAAATATCTGAGCACTTCACATGAAATCGTTATGGACGTGACTATTTGTAGACAAACATGGCAGCTGTTATAACACAACAACTTGCATTTATATAGCACCCTTCATGCTGGACTGCGTCTCGGAGCGCTTAACACATAATAAAGCCCCAGAACCGCTATGAAGTGGGTTCCAGGTCATTTGGAAGAGTGTTGGCCGGAACACCAGGAGAAGCTCCCTTCCCTTTTCAGATAGTTTCACCAGATTTTTATCATGCACCCGAAGAACAAGCCAAAGGGATTTCAGTTTAAAGTCTCATCTGAATCATATGCGCTACTGTACTTTGTGGCGAAAGCATTAATTGAGCAAAAATGCAGACAATGGCAAGAGAGAAGTTGCTAGGTTCACATTGGAAGGGATTGGAAACATTTCAAAGCTGAACATGAAAACTTTGGCAGCCTGTTGTGGATGAGTGCCAAGACTTTGCTTGGTGCCTCTGTTTAATAACACAGTCGATATCAGGAATTGTACAGAGTTGTGATGTGAATTTAAATATGCTCCAGTAAATTTGTGTATTTGTGTAAGTAAATAAGTGTTAGATTAGTGCTGGATCATGTGCCAAATTATTGTGCTTAGATATATACATGTATCTATTGTATAAAAGATTTCCTATACATTGCATTACAACATTTTGGCTTACAGTACTCCATACATGTAATTGCATTACTCAGGGATATTCTACTCCCGGTGACTCTTATAGAAATGGGAAGCTGGTATTTTCATTATGGAGGGTGAAATTTCTTCTGAACACTGGATTATACTATATAAGGTGTATCAGCGAGTGTGTTCAAAGGTCATGGTCTAGCCTCCGTGTGTAGTTGATATCCACAAGCAACCAAAGTGTCAAGTAGTAATTAGGACAGCCTTTACCTCCTTACTCAAGTGGTTTGTGTTCAATTCAAGTGATTCCTCAGCCTATAGCTATTGGGTTCTGATGGTGTAAGTGCAATGCTGCCTTGTGTGTGTTAAGTGACTGTGATATTAAGAATTTTAGACCCCTTAACCAGTCTGTTAGATGCAGATTATGTTCTTCCAAATTGACTGGTGATGAATTTCTGTGCGGGAGATCATTTCATGGAGCCAA